TGGTCGCCCTAGCCTAGACACTGCGAGTTTTTCCAAGGCACATAGTAATCTTGCTCTTACCAATCGACTTCCCATTTTAAGATTAGCGACGCTTATCGTAGACTAAACATTTGGGATAACAATAACGTTATCTTCGTAACGTTATTTTTGGTCGAGTTGGTAGATTAAACAAAATGTTTTCTAGGAATACCAAATTGGAGTTTTAATTCACGAGTCCACGAAAGGGGGGATTATCATTGCTTTTCATGGAAAGAGCCGTAATGAAAAAGAAAAAATATTATTTTGCGCTCAAAGATCTTCAGTTACAAAAAAAGGGAATTATTAACTAATTGTTTTTCTGAGTACACAATGTTTCCTCATAGCCTTTCTGTTGTCTCTTTATCCTGTATAACAGGGCAAAGGTTTTCCCCTACGCATGAATGCATGATTCACATTTCTGCAAGCGGTTAACGCCGCCCACGCAAATTGCGTCATACTCGCAAACTACACCCAGTAAAATTTTAAGCAATTACTCTGCCCATTAAAAATAACGAATTAAGAATTACCTATTGGAAGAGATATTATGCAAGATTTTCATTAAAATAAAACGCGTTGTTATCGGCAAGAACTAAATTATCTAACACTACAGAATATAGTGTTAGATAATAATTTGTTGTTTTCTTATAGTATGTCTAAGCTTCCAAAATGTTTGTTATTAATCCCAAAGAAAGGGAAATTAAACTCAACACATTCGTCTCTATCACTTTCATACTGGTAAAAATAGTGCTACTAAATCCATATTTTGTAATAGAATAGAACCATTTTTAGAAACTTCCACTCAGCAACATGTTTCTACAAAGAAACGACATTTGATTTTTGAACTCCAGGAATGAACTTTCAGCGGTCAGTCGCCTCGTCATTTCGGATCGTAAAGCAATAAAGATTTATTTTTTCCTTAGTGAATACCTTTAGAAATCTTTTCGTAAAAATCATATTGAAAAAGTATTTTTTCCAATACAGTAGGCTGTATTTATTCTATCTCTATTCGTAATTTTCGACTTGAATAATCACCTTCGCCGTTTCGTAGCCATAGGGAAAAGAAGAAACTACATTTAGCCTAGAATAAGCTTTCCAAATGGTTTGCTCTATCACTCATTCATTACAGCGCTCTTGCTAATGTTAACTATAATGACCTAACTCTCCAATTACCTGCACAAGAAAACAACACCTGCACCTGTATAATAAGTGCATCGGAAATAATTAGCAAATGAAAACAAGCGTGTTGAGTTTGTTTACCCTGCGCGTCAAGCACACCAAACGGTGCGAAAGTGATGCGGTGTTTGCATTCCAAGTGTTATGTCACTGCCGGACACTTGGCTCCTGATGTACAAATATGCAATACCTAGCGTGGTACTAACAGACCTACCTACACTCAACATCAAATAAATCGCACCTCCCGCAACAAGCACTTTCAAACGTATGCATCCCCACTTCCCACCAATATTGGCACCATTTAAAAGCCTAGTTCTAAGCTTCATTTCATTAAAGGAAACGTTTTTACCCCAAAAATGTGTCTTTAGAAGGATCCAGAGTCACTTCTTCAAAAAATAGGCTATTACGCTTGAGCCAACTTTTATGGCTGTAAAACTGTTAAGTTGGGATTAATCGGTATCCATCTGTTAAAGAGGACACGTGTGATCATTATTTGGTTTTATAACCATATGGTCTAATTGATCCCAGAGGTGAGCCCAAAGTGAGGTCTCTTTTCAAGTCACATTTATGGTATATGATAATCATTTATTTAGAAATTAAATGTCTTTTTCTTTAAGGATATTTATTGGGCTTTCAAATAACACCAATATTGTTGGGGCACCATGATTGTGTCAGAAGAAAATCTTTAAAGTTCGCGTCGCGGAAGGTACGGTTTATTTGATGTTAAGTGTATTTCGTTGCGTTAATGCATAGGTACACAAAGTACCTCGATTCATAGAAGTCTTAAAAATAACTTAAACAAAGGACGCCCACGAAGTGGGCAGATGATCGTTAAATGTTAAGATAGATACAATAAATGGTTTGCCGTGACCAATACGTGGAAGGCAGAATTTGAATTGTTTTACAATTTAAAACGTAGTACAAAAAAGATGTTGAAACAAAACCATAGTCGAACAATTTGTGATTCTGATCACGCGTGACGTGACTCTACTAAAAAGACGGTGCGGACAATATTTTGGTGAAGTTTCTCTCATGCATATTAGTTGCTTACGATTTGAATATAGACAGATACCAAGCCAAAACAAAAAAAACAATATTGATTTACGTACAACATGTTTACCTTTTGCTTGTTCAATCGAAGTATGCCCAATATAATACTCTTGGCAGAATCAATAGAGCTGTTTGCCATCACTATTTCTAATCACAATCAATCAGTCAACTTTCGCTGCGCGTGCCGAGACGTCCGTGATGTGTATGGGAGATAATATAGAGCAAACTTCGTCCCAGACGGTCATCCACAAGTGTACAGTCAGCGTCAAATAGTTGGTAACACCCAAAGTAACCAAAAAGTTCGCAACACGTCTTTGTTACAATGGGAATAAGGTTGCGTCGTCAACTTTTTGCCCACTTTGGGTATCATGATACACTTTTTGATGCAGACTGTACACTGGTCCATCACATTTGCCCGACGCGTGCGTAACCTCTACAAGTAACCCACATGAAAGATTCAGAGAAAAGCGGTCTGAGTCATCGGCACGAGTGTAAAATCAGCAGAATATCGACATATCGAACTCTATCTAGCTGCCAGAAGCCATAGCATGTGGATAAGATAAAACGAACAGGCCAATTCTTTCTATTCTAGCTTTATACAGCCTAAAGGATTCGTAATTAATTTTATTGCGAGTGATTGTACAGCTATACTAAGGGTTGTTAACCTGTAAGCTTATCTGTTAAATAAATCACCATTCGGTTTCATTGAATAAGGACAAAATGAAAAGTTATCATTACCAACATAGACGGCATCTTACATCATAAGTCAGATAATCTGAAACTTCAGGAACCCAAAGCATTGGTCCGAAAACAGCATGAAAATCACACATGTAACATTTTGAACATCTTGTACTACTCTTTTTAACATTGCGAAGTGAATAAATGAATATGATTGAATATGAATACCGCTCTATTCGGCATTAAGTTACGCGTTTCTTCTCATAAGAAGTTTGAACCAGATACTTAGAAACTACCATCCCACCCATGACTGCAGCTGATGACCGTAATTACTCTTTCTGTACCGTAAAGACAGTACTGAACGGTTTAAACTGCTTTCTTCGCGCGAACCATCGCCGGTTGTAACCAGCAGTAACTACAGTTTCCGTGAAATCGCGTCTGCGTTACGTCACGTCGTAATGTATTAAATTTAGAAGCTTCTGCTATTGATTCACGGAGTGATATTCGAAACAAAGACAAGGGTTATTATCCTGTACCTCTAGTAGGAAAAACTTTCGAGTTCGTTTCGTTTGCGTATTCAAAGTGTCATCGAAAAATTTTGTATGAAAAATTAAACAGCGCCCCCTATATTATAGCCGCCCTAGGGGGCGCTGTTTAATTTTTCATACAAAATTTTTCGATGACACTTTGAATACGCAACGAAACGAACTCGAAAGTTTTTCCTACTAGAGGTACTGTACCTCTAGTACGAAAAACTTTCGTACTAGAGGTACTGAATACTGTACACTCGATTTTGATGCTTAAGTCGAAGGGTAAAAAGTTAAAATAGCACCCCAAACAAAACATCTGTATAAAATGGTGTATTTAATATCGTACCATCAAACTGCTAACTGTCCATCTCGTTTCACGTGGCGATACAGACGACTGAAAGTTACCAGGCAGGTAGTAAGTATCTGTCTTATAGATTTTAATGATAAAAGAATGTATCATTTTTATATCCGTAACTTTTATCAGACAATCGGATTCGAATCTGTGAGATAACCTACTAGATCTATCTTCGCGAATACCTGATAATACTACTTACTTACGTACCTACTTCTTACGCATAAAAAGATGTTCCTATTGCTGAAATTCGCCTTTTGTCCAAATTTTTGTAGAATGTATTCTAGAAATACCTAAACGTGTCATAGGTTGCAAGCTTGTCATTATATCGCTGCATAAATATTTTTTTTTATCGGTAGAAGAGTGGAAGGTGTGTTTGCGATTTATAAAAACACGCAAAGAATGTGTTGAAAGACATTGACGACAATAATATGTTGCAAAAGGCGATAAGATAATGACTAAATAAATAAGCATGTATTGAAAAATACGCTGATATTTTATTGCTACGATTAAAAAGACAGCAATACTTTACAGGAATTATTCAATAACCTTAGCTACAGGTCATTAGGATTTACGCACCTTTTTACCGTAATTAAGCCTAAACCTTTTATCCGTGCTTAATCCGGCTCGAAGGACCATGACCTTTTAAGATGTTAACTCGTTTAAACTTATACCTTTCTATCACCTTTCAAAGGAATATTATAGTTGGCTTTTAGATGCTGACTATTTATTTAGTTACTATACTCCATCTCAGGTGCCGTTAGCGGCTGATATGTCTCGGGTGCCGTTAGCGGCTGATATATCTCGGGCGCCGTTAGGGGCTGAAATGGGTAATAAATAGCAGATTGCAAAAGTTATCTGCTTACTAGTAAAATACGAGCCAAGTACATTACCGACCCCATCTCTTGTTACGTTTTATTGACAAAGAGGGGTGGGAATAGTCTTGACAATCGAGCCACTAAAACGACAGTTTTTTGGTTTAAAAGGAGAAGCCCTAGTTAATAACAAAAACATTTGTTGCAGAGCGTGAAAAACCGTCATCATTGGTGTTAGAGAGGCAGCGTGAGGCGCTCGCTAAGGGCGTCGAAGTCGCTACCGAGCGGAGCCGCGACGATGCGTTGCAGAAGGGCACGCCCGAGGCCGAGGCGGCGGCCCCCGCCGTCGGCCGCTGGGGCTCCGAGTGGCCGAGTTGACTCGCTTCGGTCGCGCGGGACGACGCCCCCGTCGCCCGCGACGTGACCAGGCCACGGTAATACTATCTATACAGTATTCCAACTCGGCCATATTTTTCAAATAAATGTCAACAGCCGCGCGGTACGTCACGGTATGACAACATGCGATAGGGCTGCCCACCTGCAGACCCTATTTTCATTACAATCTGCCTACTAATAATTTCTATCTAATTTTGTGATTGTAATTTTTAATTTTATTTTGAAAAACAAAATACTTCGTGAATGAAATAGGATAAAAATGCATGTTGTTTTGTGATTAGTAGATTTCATTTGAAAAATATATTTGTAATGATATATGATTTAGTAACAAATCTTATAAACCGACCGCAAAATGTATGCGTCTCGACTGAGGCGTACAAAATGCTTGATTATTATACAGGGTGTTAGGTAAATGGGTTTATAAGCCGACACTAGCCCATGTTAACATGTGCATATAAATGGTATGGTGAAGTCAGAAAATTGATATCATCATTTTATTAATTTGAATTTTATTACAAATCTGATTTTATAAATTTTATTTTGTATGGAAATTAAAAAAAAAATATGATGATATCACTGACTTCACCATACTATTTATATGCATATGTTGACATGGGCTAGTGTCGGCTTATAAACCCATTTACCTAACACCCTGTATAAATAGGTACTTATAATTATTTTTATAAAAAAAGAGCGCTTACTGTTTAAAAACAACACATCGTCCGTTTATTGCAGTGGCACATTCGCGACACCCCCGACTTTTGCATGTCGAGCGCATACCGAGATTTGAATTTCGAAGGAATTCTCGCGTTTCGTCCGTTTATATGAAGTTACAATACTGTATGATAATATTACCGTGACCAGGCTACCCCTCCCGCCCGCGCGGTGGGGCCCACCACGACGCCCGCTCGACCTCACGCCGACCACGCACGAGGAACTCGTCACCAAAGCTGAAGCCGTGCTCCGGAAACTCCTCGTCACTGACAACTACGACTCGGTCAACAACTTCGTGTCGCTGTTCGACGAATTCGAGAACTCTAAGGAGCCGCTGTACGATGTGTACGAGAAGTACTCGCCGCCGATCCGCGCGAAGAAGCACACGTGCGTCGGGCTGGGGTTGGAGCTGATCAAGAGGTGGAGGAAACTCAATAAGGTAACTACTTTAAGGCACGTATTCACAAACATTACTATGAGGTCTGACAGTGCGCGTGGACGCACAGGGTGACACACGAACCAATCACAGAGCTCTATTCAACGCTGTGTTCGATTTGCTGCTTCACTTAAGCAAGCGTCGTTTGTGAATACGGGCGTAAGACTTTTTTAAATGTTCTTGCTTTGACTTTATACCTAATATGCGCGTTAGGGGAGAGGGGATTCCCCTGCATCCTAATAAGCCACACTATATCATTTCATCATCACCATCTATTCAGTCATAGGACGACCATTGCTGAACATAGGCCTCCCCCAATGATTTCTATATTGACCGTTTCGTAGCGGCCTGCATCCAGCGCCTGCTATTATAGGTAGCAGTAAGGCGCTGAATGTAGGCATAAAGGTTTATGAGGTCGTCGATTCACCATGTGGGTGGACGTCCTAAGCTGATAAGATAGCAGCAGCAGTTGTCCCTAAAGATTTCACTTTGGAAGACGTTTTACTTAATAACCGATCGTTTTCCAGGAGTTTCCCGGGTTCGCGTGCGCGACCGCGCTGCTCTCGTGCGAGGAAGCCGTGGGCGACGTGCGCGAGTACGTGTCATACGGCGACAGCCCTGCCGCCGTGCTGTCCGCGGAGAAGGAGCACGTGATGGTGGGCGTGTTGGTCCGGCTGGCCGGGCGCCCGGGCCTGCTGCTGGCCGACCCGGGCTACCACGTGCCGAGGGTCGTCACCGTCATGGCTGACCGCGCCTACCCGCACACCGGTCAGTATATACAGGCTGCTTGCTTTCTCGATCAGTGGTTGGAGTAGGAAGATAAACCACAAATCGCACAATGACCCAATCATGAGGCTGTATTCGATTGCCCTACAAAACTAACTATCACAGCCTGACTTCCTCGTGGTCCGCCGTTGAACACTCATTCGTTTCAACCAGTTTCAACCTTAGCCGTCCACTGCTAGACACAACGACCAGTGCCGGATTAGCCACGTAGCAAGAGTAGCAAATGCTACGGGCCCCGCGAATTTGGGGGCCCCGCGCTCCAAAGCCTGTCTGACTGAAATAAAAAAAGATTAATTTAGATAGGAGCGTAAAATATCTTGCATTAGGCTATGCTTTACTTTCACTTGAAAATCTAAAACTCGATTTCATCACGTTAAATCATAAAAATAAGTAGGTAGGTATTTTACGAACTTTTTAACGTGAATGTTCTCTAATAGGCCAGTAGAATTAAACACAAAAATGAATTAAATCTTTAACAATTCCTACTAAAGATTTTAGTGCTTTAATGGCTTCATTAGTTGCCCATAAAGACTCTCCTAGGTTTTCGACTTCGACGGAGTTGTGCTTAAGTGGTGGGGGCCCCCGAAAGGGGCGCTTTTTCGGTTTTCCGGTTATACCGCGTAAAGGACTTACCCTATCGAAAAGTGGTCTTCCTGACGGTTGAAGGGCATTTAATCCTGCAATAAATAAGACCAAATATACAGTGTGTCCGGGCATGTAGTGATCAAACTTTAAGGGCGTAATCTATGGGCAATTTTATCGATGAAAATACTTCAATTTTGGGGCTTGACCCATTTCTCGCAAAATTACAAGGATTTAAGTTTTTAATTTTAAGTTTTCACTTCAAAAACAAGTGAAAGCGTGGGCAACTTAACACTAATAAGCAAAAATTTTATATCATGCGATAGCAAATAAAATTATCTATTAGTAGAAGTAAAAAACAAACACAAATTTTATAGATTTTAAAGGAGTAAGAATGGATTTAATTAGCTGGGAAGGGGTATCTTTGTTCATCAATTAAGTCGAAACTAATAGACGTAGACTAATAAATTTACATTCGTTTTGTAGAATAGCTCAAATACTAATAATACAATGCAAATAAAACATACCTTAACGACCTGGTTTTTCTTGTGTTGGAAAATAACTGAAAAAGAAGTGAAAAAAGTCATGTTTTTTTCTACTTTAATCCATTCCTACTTCCTTAAAAAGTATGAAACTTGTGTCTGTTTTCTACTTTACTAATAGATAATTTTATCAGCTATCGCATGACATAAAATATTCGCTCATTAGTGTTAAAGTGCCCACGCAATCACTTGTTTTTGAAGGAAGAGGTGAAAACTAATAATTAAAAACTTGAATCCTTGAATAAAAAAATGGGTTAAGCCCCAAATTTGAAGTATTTTCATCGATAAAATAGGCTAGTGGCCTAAAAAAATTTTTTTAGTCCGTAATGTTTAATATCAAAAAATATTGGACACGTATAATTTTATTTGTCAATCTAACAAATAATTACATAGTTATGGTGCGTTGAAGTTGCGCACGACGTCACAACGTGCGGCATTTTTAAGCAAGCGTTGACGTCACGGGCCTCTTCTTATGAACTTTATCTCTTTAAATTTTCATTAGTTTGAAAAAGTGAAAAATACGAGTAGAGTATTTTTTGATAAGTTAACTGACGGACTAATTAAAACTTTTGCTTTTTGACCCAGGCAACATCCCCATTGTCCATAGATCACGCCCTTAAAGTTTGATCACTACATGCCCGGACACGTTGTATATGTTTTGAACAAACCGTTCTCGTGCAAATGTTCGGCAAAGTAGAAAATATGTGTATTATTGTGTATAACCCTCTTCACGTCCAATGGCTCGCTACCCGCAGGCTTCCAAGTCTTGAAAAGGAGCGCCTCAACCAGTGTAACCCTATCAAGGCTTACGAGTTACGATTTTTCCTACTTTGGCGAACATTTGCACGAGAACGGTTTGTCCAAAACGTATGCATTTGGTCTTATTTAATGCAGGATTAAATGCCCTTCAACCGTCAGGAAGACCACTTTTCGATAGGGTAAGTCCTTTACGCGATATAACCGGAAAACATAAAAAGCGCCCCTTTCGGGAGCCCCCCACCACTTAAGCACAACTCCGTCGAAGTCGAAAACCTAGGAGAGTCTTAATGGGCAACCAATGAAGCCATTAAAGCGATAAAATCTTTTGTAGGAATTATTTCCGATTTAAAATGTAATTCTACTGGCCTATAATGTTTAATTATAATCGATATATTTAGACTAGCTATCTAATCATTTTAAAAAACTTTTAATAAATAATTCTTAAGAATCGTGTTTTCCAAACTAAGAAATTGTCTGGCGCATTTACATGTCTCTCATGATCACTAACTGCAGTGGCGAACGTTCTTTTTCAACATTAAAACGTATTAAAAATGAATTAAGGAACACGATGGGACAAGAACAACGTCTTAATCATCTTACTTTGTTGAATATAGAGCATGATTTGCTTAAAGAAGTTGTTAATGAAAGTGTTATCTCTAAATTTTCCCACATTAAATCAAGAAAAGTTCATTTGTAACAGTTTTGTTTCGTTTAATACCCTAAACTTGAGAACCTAAAGCAAACCAAGGGCCCCTTGATAGAAATTTGCTACAGGCCCCGCGCTGGCTTAATCCGGCACTGACAACGACCGGCCCAGCGCTGTTTGCATTCATAAAAACTCTTAAAGCACTTACACGTCCCAGTATTAACCCTACCACTGATTCAGGACAATAAATGGGCCAGTGCTGAGAAGAAACAGCGCAAGAAACTCAGTCACTATTGACAGCCTCTTTACCTAGATAACGCCTTTTCTTCTTAGTCCTAATCACCAAGTGGAACACGTGTAAGGTCACTGTTTCATGATTCCCAGTAAGGTTTGGACATTGAAGCAGAGCGTCAGCAGATTTTTTGAAACCTCATCTCAATCCCAGATGTAAGTAACTCTTGAACATTCCAACCTAGAGCCAAAAACTAAACCCTTTGTTCTCCCCCAGGATGGTTCACGCAATCCGACGAGCCTACCTGCCGCAAGGAATACAACTACGTCTTCAGCCCGCCCAACAGTAGCTACGTGGAGTGGCAGGAGAGGGAGACTCGTGGCGGAGACGTGAAAAGTCAAACGTCGCTCGTGTTCGTCGCCAGGCCTTATCTTGACGGCGTCAACGTGACTGAGAGGAGGAACCTGGTTTACAACTTCAAGTGAGTATGAGAAATGTTGGAATTGGAAAGCTTTTTGAGAAAGCTGAAGTAATGTAGCAAATCAAATCGTTTATTCAGTACATAAGCCCTTTCCAGGGCACTTATACACGTCCCAAATATAACTTGCCCTACCGCCATTTCGAGTCAACATACTTAATATGGGCTTGTGCTGATGAAGAGGCGGAAGAAACTCAGTCACCTGTAGCAACTCTAATAGTGCTTTTAATGGGCTTTGTAACATTTTAATCTAAAGAAGATCGTGAAGCTAGACGTAGCGCATGATCCATCCATATGGATCTTGAGATAGAAGGCACCTTCATAACAAGAAGTTACGTCATGTGCCCGCTCCAGGAAGACGACCCTCTAATTTACCAGAAACAAATGGATGATCTAGCCTACTCTCTGGTCCTCCTGGCGAGTCTGGTTGGGGAAACCTGATTGATATTCGCATGTCTCTTTTAGTCTTACAACGGAAAAGTTTCGGCATTCCTATTCTTCTCTGTCAAAACCACACGACAACGGCGGTTTTGGCCATATGATCATCACGTGACAAGCTGAACATTTTTCCATCGATCCTAACCATTCCCTGTCTTCCAGGAGTCTCCTCTCGCGCGACCAGAAGGGCCACGTGATCGCCGGGCTGTATTTCCCGGTGGGAGCCCGCGGGAAGGACGCGCAGTTCACGCTCTTCTTCGGAAGCGGCGCCGACAAGCGCAAGACCAAGTACAAATTCAGCACCTTCTTAGATTCAGAGGTAAGTTCCATTTGACCAATCTAGTTTACGGTATTTTGTGCTGTTATTGCAGTAACTATAACGGAAATAAATAAGTGGGTACAGGTCGAGCTCATAACTGAGTCAGTGCCTGAGGTAGGATCACTCAATCCACATGCATGTTTTTGTGACGTCAAATCAAACGTCAGTCAGACTGTGTTCAGACTGAAATGCTCTGTCACGTCATGGCACCCTTCCCGTTCCTCTCCTTGACTCAGATAATCATGCCACTAAACCTGTAGTACAAACCTCATAAAACGACATGTAAAACATCAAGTTATAACATGACAGTATCAAAGGATAATTCTTGAGGTTACCTTTCCCATTAACAGTTTGTTAAGTGCCTGAAAATGAACACTGATAATGAGGCTAAAATGAGACATGTGATTATTGAAAACAAGGTCGAAGTCAAAAGTTGTTTCCGTGATTTATTTATTCATTCATTTTAAGTTTCGACCTTACGAACTTGACATAAGAGTCATATCTCAATACAAGTCCATCGTCAAACATTGAAGGTAGTTATCATTTTAAACGGCTGTTTCGTTCCAATCCACAACTCGTTACTTATTCTGGGTATTCGAAAGTTTGTCCACTGTTATTATGCGACTATAGATAATTGTATACCATATAATCTAAGTACATAGTTTGTGGAATAGCAGTCACTAATAAGCCTTTTCTTTCACAGATACCAGAGTCCTTGTCAGAGGAAATTGAGCTTTGCAACGCGCAAATGAACTACAAAGATGGCGAACTTCTCAAAATCATCTGTAAAGTGGCCAAAGTGATGTCGCATCAGCGCTTCATCGAGCAGATGCTGGAGATCAACGACGACATCTGCCGCCTGAGCCTCTGACAGCGCCCGCAAAATGGCGCCGACGACAAAATGGCCGCCAACGTGTCAGACGCAACAAAAGACGACGCTGTTGTATCCTAATTATTTTTACGTTTGTCACTTAATTTGTAGATTAGTTTACTTCAAAGTATATCGACGATGTATTTTATATTATGTGTAATCATTCAAATTATTTACTTTTTTATCGGTTATGGGACTAATTTTTGGGCTTAATGTTTTTTATCATTACTACATATTTGTAGTGTATAAGGATATTTTTGAATTTTGCATTTTTTGTGGACTATTTAGTCTATTTATTAGTTACTGGAATTTATTTTACCTAATATATAATTATTTGACAAATCTACATATTCGTATTTATTGGAACCCTTTATATGACATTTATCTCTACAGAAAAACCTAATAGATTTAAGGATAATTGAATAAATGAAACAATGAATACGAGAAACAATATTTTATTGAAGGAATGGGCGTTATATCCAGCACCTTTCTAATTTTGTGCGGAGTTTAATTTTCTATTGTCTATCGGATTTTAAGGGGACAAGAATTTACACACACTATATAAAGAGATACATAGCCTAGGTTCACTATTTACTTATTTGAGAGGGTACATTGGGGGCAGGCACTACCCGTCAATATTGAAAATGCTATATGGAAAACTGAAAGGATAGCAATATAAGATCCTATATTGTTAGTTAACTTTCTTTTAAAGCGAATCTAACGCCCATAAGCCACAAATTAATGAACTGGAAATATTTTTCAACTACCATACAACTCTATCAGGTTTTTAGAGACTGGAAATTTCTTACTAAACAAGTTTTTTGCGAACTTTAAGACCTAGCTCTAGCTTGATCGTTATAAAGCAATACGATATTATTATTATCTATGGAAGACAATACTGCGGAAGTCTAGTTACCATAGAGGCTATTTTTCAATACGTCTGTCTTGTCTGTGATAGGTTAGTTGTATTTACGTTTTAGAAGAAAGTTAGCTAACAAAATAGGCACCTGTATAACGTCAGTCATTTTGCAACCATTTGCAAATTATTTTTAGTTTTTCGCCATATAATATTTTCTAAGTTAACACATAAATATAAACTACAATATTAACCTACAAAATTATGGAATCATAATTCCAAGTCTGAGTCAATCAGATGCTTAAAATTTTGTAATTTTCCAACATTTCTTACATTAATCTTATTCGTACAGTTGTAAAAATAGACACTGTCGATGTACAAGCGGCGGCACGTCAAGTGTTACTGCACTTTAAGTAGCTTGTAATACATGTTATTTTGCAACAATAGGCTAATTTCTTAAAAAAAAACTTTTAGTCCGTCAATTACACTATCAAAAATATTGGACACGTATATTTTTATTTGACAATAAAACAAGTAATTACGAAGTTATGATGCATTAACGCGCGCGTCGTCATAAAGTGCTACACTTTTAAGCACGTCCTGACGTCACGGGCCATTTCTTTTGGATTTTGACGTGCTCTCTTTCAGTTTTAAAAAATTGAAAATACTTGTCGAGTATTTTTTTATAAGTTAATCCACAGACTAATTCAAACTTGCTTTTTTACCCAGGTAACCCTATTCTGTACAGTTTGATGTACTGCCGACTGTATATTCCTTTTTGTTTCGTTACAATGCATATTATCAAAACTATTTGATGTGACAGAGACACTGAGATGAGGTGGGGAAACTAAAAACTAAAACGTTCTAATTACGAGGGAAGAATTACTAAAATACAACTTAACGTTAAATTTTAGCGTCTATACTGAATCTAAACATTTGTATAAGATGTCTGAGAATACTTCACATATATCACAAATCCGAACGATTCCAATTTGGAGCGATAGCGACGCATCGAAATAAATCTTATATTACTTGCTTATTTATATTTTTTAAAATTACGCCGTTACTTTAACAAGGAGAATATTCACTAGTTCTTATATGCTACCAATGAAAGACAAACATTTTCTATTAATTAACTATGTTTACCACCAGGAAACGAACAAAAAAACTAAAAAGTTTCATACTAGCTAACGATACTTTTTTTAAATAATTTGAGCCAAAATCCATAAATATGTATGTACTAAACACAAACTTAATTTTTTGCAAAAATGAATAAATAATTGCAGTTATGCTACAATTAATTTGAGGTACAAATAAAATAAAAATACTGATTTACTTACGTAATACGCCCTTAAAATACAATTAAATTACGGTTATAATATAAAACTAGAGATTTCAAAACACTATTCTATTTCACACCAATACGTAAATTAAATACATAACATTATTATAATGATACACAGACAAAATTACTTCATTATTGTAATGATGTAAATAGTTGCGCCTCAAGTAAAAACCATCGCAAAAAAAACTGAAAACAATTTGCCCTATCATAAAAAAAATTAGCTCCAGATCTGTCAAATTGACAAGCTATGAAACTTTGTCAATAAATGGAACAAGTAAAGTGCCCTGCATGACCCCTTACTATGGGGACATACCATACCATCGATTCTCGGGAGCCTTTTTTGCATAAAAAATAATAAATAGGTAGGTATATCATCAATTTCATTCTTCAAAATAAGTTACCATCCATAGGGACATAGAATTTAGGGAAATTGGGATTGATGGGACTGAACAGGCTTGTCAATTTATTTAGCCATTGTTTACTTGCCCGTGAATGGACAATACATTAAAATCAAGATGAGACCGTTCATGGTCGCTATCGCTCAAAATTGATGCTAATTGCCCCGAGGTTTATAGTCTGTTGCCCCATGGATAAGGCAGGGGGCAAAAAATGTGACCCATGAGACGGGACTAAGCTCTTTCGAACTCTCGCTCTTAACACTGAAAATCCTGTGTAATCAGGATCTACAGCTTGTTTTGTCGTCTCAGGTCAAACTAAAGTCATTTTTATAATGTCTTGAAACCAAATGGGGTCAGATCGTAATAACGTTTCGTTATTTGTTGTACATAAAAATAATATTGGTTATAAAACCAAAGTTACTTGCTTCTAAATCAACGCAAGGTAAATTAAAACGAACAAACCTCGAGGCGCATAGTTTGATATCAGTAGACACAAGTGACCGCCACGTTCTGAGATTGCCCCGAAAGGCGCGGTCTACGCGTGGCTGGTTGTTAAAGCCTGGTCCGTGAGCACGTAGAATTTTGTCCAATGACCCCAAGCTATCCATCCTTATCGCTCGCGCGTAATTATGTTGCTGTCGCGCTCGCACACTCACTGCGGGCGCCTATCGCACAGTCGCGACAGCAATATAATTACGCGCGAGCGATAAGGATGGGTAGCTTGGGGTCATTGGACAAAATTCTACGTGCTCACGGACCAGACTTTAGATGTTGTTGTTGATAGTTGTTGTTGACGTTTAGTTGTCGGCGGGCGAGTGTCGAGGCGCCTTGTGATGACGGTGCCGGTGGCGCTGCGGATGAGAGCCGCCGTAGACCTCTCGCACGCGGTTGCTGAAAACATTACATAGTGATTATTACGGGGCAATAAGGTAACTTTTTTGGCCCCTAAACAGAAAAAGTTATGTCTTTAACATTGAACTTTAGGACAATATAACGTAAGAGTTATATTACCATGCTTTACGCACGCGGTTGCTGCATTCATTTATAGTGATATTTGCGGGGCAATAAGGTAACTTTTTTGTCCCTAAACGACAGAACAGGTTCTGTCTTTTACATTGAACCTTAAGACAATATACGGCAAGAGTTATATTGCCATGCTGTTTAAGAATTGGTGTGTGAGCTTACGACGATGTCTCAGCGTGCCAATGGGGGGGACACGTGGGATAAATTGTAAAAGTTGCAAAACAATATTACTAATTTTTTTAACAAATCGTATTCACAATAAGTGCAATAATTCTTGATAGTCATGAAAACTGGCTGTGATCTCTTTTTTATTATTTAATAGTACACTGATTGTATTTTAAAGCAATTCTAAAAGAATAAATGCAATCTACTTCGCTGATGTGCTATTTATTTATGTCATGCAGAACTGCAGACTATAAAAAGATAATATTAGAAATTAAATTCAAGGAGTATAAAAGATTTTTGCGCTTTATGCAATTTAAAATCACTTATTTCTGGTATTTACTAAGAACTACATTCTAAATTACCATTTAACTTTTTTGTTTCTTAAGTTTAGCTGATTTTTACAGTCTATAAAGTTCAATCTATATTTTACATGACTCTTCGCTTACGAGTACTTTATCTACAATTCAAAGCATCAAAATCTTTTATTCTATTGACGACTTTACTTTCTATAAAAAGATTTCTCGACTGTACAAAAACAACTGAAAACTAATAAAAAAAACGAGGAATCCAAATATTTTAAAATAAAGACATGCACACCAAAATGTTCACAAAGAAGAGAGCCATAAAAGGAACTACTAAAATAGCATGCCAATAATAATAATAATAGCAATAATAACGCAAATAATATTGTACATAGCGCTAAAAAAAGATAATACAACATAGCAAACATATTTACAGGCTAGATGGTAAATAAATAAAGGCATGTATTTAAATGATCTTTTTAAATTAGCAAAAACGGCAAATAAAAAAATCTAAATGGTCATCTATTTTAATGATTGATCCTCTTTCTTTGAGACATAAAATAAATGAAATCGATCGATATTTTAACCTCTTTTGAACTACGCAAAAAAAATTTGAGATGTAAAAATTATATCTGATCGTTACTTGTTGGTCCTCAAAAATAAAAGAAATGAGCACCAAATATTCAATATTGTGATACTTTTTTAAATAATTCGATTTGTATAAATTATTTTTTGTCTATATCAAATAATCTTCAAAATAATTATGTTATGGTACTTATTTTTATTAAGTTGTAGTCAAAGGATGGAAACTATTTAAAGGCACTTGATGTTCAAAGATTTTTTTTTATTAAAAAAGCATACTTAACACGTTCACACTGCGTTATCGGGTCGAATTGACCTTAGGTGCTGGATGCGTTGGTGCGGGATGGATATATTCGGTCTTTTCAGTAGTACGAAAGATAAATATTGTTTTGCAATTGTTTCGTCAAACACAGTAAATATTTGGAAAAAAAAACTTATCAGGTCCTTACGACCCGATGTCGCACTAAAAGTAAACAAATATCGTTTAGTGCTTTTATCGTGTCTAATCGACCCGTTGACAGATGACTTTATGGTCACTGATCACGGTCGAGATCGGTATACTAAGAGAAAATCAACCTTGCGATTTGAAAAAAATAAAGAGGTAAAAATTATGATGTCGGGTTCAGGGATGTCAGAAGTAAGAAATTTTTTTACATAGCGCCTCTAGTCCCAAACTAAGCAAAGCTTGTAATTTAAACAAACATGGCAATGTACCATTCTGCTTGCTTATTGGCCGCTAAGCCCTTGGCCAACTCAGTAACCAATGACGGACGATTGTCACTCAACCACAAAGTACCGCGTAAATTAAAAGATATTTTTTAATTAAAAATATTAACCAATAATATTTTTTGTTAGATCAAATATATTTTAAAGTTAAGTTATACATAGATCGAAATGTATTTATTAGGTGATCAATATTAAAAGGCAAACTTGATATAAAAATCATCAAATTAACAAAATTAAAGATCAATAACTAAAAAAGAGGATCAAATATTATTTTTGTTGACCAAATATTAAAAGAGTATGTTAAACATAAATATTATGTTACCTTTAATGAAGATCATTCATAATTTATCCGTAGATCAACTAATATAGACCCAATAATTAATATAAAGATAAAATATAATAAAAAACATCATTTATTTTTAAAAGTGCACATACAAAAAAGATCAATTAGTTTTTAGAGGATCAAATAATATTGTCCCATAAATAAATAGATATTACGATATCATTAATAGTAGCAACTCCTCCTCCAGTATCTGGAACTGATCGGAATGTTTTATCAATTTTGAGTGTTTTTTGTTTTATAAAGCTAATTAAATCTATAAATATCTTTGCTGTAATAATTTCTTTGAAAAATTAAAATTCATTCATCATCAAATCGGATGTTTTGTGGCAGATAATGTTTAGAAATATACTTCTATCAGTGTCATATGGTTATACTATCATGGCATGACAATGTGGTTATACTATCAGTGGTATATGATTATTGATTTTTTACCTTGTACTATCAGTGTTAGATGAGCGTTTACTTGTACTATTAGTGTCAGATGTAGTATACTGGTACTGTCAGCGTCATATGTTTATACTATCAGCTGCATATGGTAATACTATCAGTATGACACTGAGGGTTTACTTGAACTATCAGTGTCATATGGTTATACCATCAGTGTCATATGAGTGTTTACTTGCACTATCAGTGGCACATGGTTATACTATCAGTTGCATACGAGTTATTTGTACTATCAGTGACATATGGTTATACTATCAGTAGGCTGAGTATGAGTTTAAATCAAACGCACTCACTAGTATGAAAATTTTAGTTTTTGAACGTTTCCCGCTAGGGGCGCTGTACAATCCGTCATACATTTAATGTCATTTATTGACGCGCTCATGAGCGCGTTTGATGTAAACTCACACTAGGCCCTCAGTTGTATATGAGTTGTTTGTACTATCAGTGGTTATACCACAGAATAATAATAAGTACTACGTACAGAAGTTTTACTTCGCGAAGGTATTTTAAAAAATGTATGCTCAATGTCATTAACAATATGGTGTAATTTAGCCTGTCTCAAGAGTCAAGCACCATTTTGTTGACAAACGTCAGTGATCGGCACTGCGCCGAAGCTATAGGGCTGACTTCGGTAAAATGATGTGGCGTGAGGTGCCAAACTGCGGAAAATGGCGGAGGAAATACATGATTTAGCATGAATTATCATGAATAATATTTTAATATTAACTACTTATTTACCTCTCAGTGTCTTGAGGCAACTTAAAAAAGTACATTCTGTGTTTTTATTATTATTTAGGCAGTTAAATACTGCACAGTATTTAGTACACCATTTTCTTTATTTTCTTCCGTCATACACAAGAATACGCGTGCGTGAGTCAATGTTCGCTCGTATGTGAGGCCTTGTCGAATAGTATCCTGTAGGTGGGCCATCGTGCGTGTTTTGTTTTAGATGTAAACTCGCGGAGATGAACAGGCCTGGTTATACTATCAGTGGTATATGAGTGTTTACTTGTACTATCGGTGTCATTTACCTGGAGGGCAGGGCCAAGGGGCTGGCAGAGGCGCGGAGGGGGCGGCGGGGCGCGGGACGCGGCGCGCGGCGGCTACTTGCGCTGCAAGACATGCTCTAGCTACAGGTACTACGAACATATACAGTATACAAATACATAATAGGAGGGTGGGCAGACGGATTTCTCAATACTCAACACTTTATTCGTCGGCCGTTTGGTGTAGTGGTTCGAAACGGACTACTATTCCGGAGGTTGCGGGTTCGATTCCCGCACAGTGCAAACATTTGTGTGCATGAACATATTTGTTTGTATTGGACTGGGTGTTTTCTATGTATAATATGTATGTATTTACAAAAAAAAAGTATTTAAGTATGTTTATATTCGTTGTCTAGTACCCATAGTACAAGCTTTGCTTAGTTTGGGACTAGAAGCGCAGTGTAAAATGTCCAAGGATATTTATTTATTGCTTAACCACATTTGCATTTAGGTTTTACAATTCAAGCAGAACAATCTAATAAAAGCGAAAGGTCACTGACTGACTCACTCATCACGAAATCTCAGGAACTACAAATGCTAGGAGTCTCAAATTTTGCAAGGGGGTTTCTTTTAGAACTTAGGTGCTCACTAAGACGGTATTTTGCAAAATTCAATCCCTAAGGGATAAAACGGGGTCCACGCTTACGAAGTCGCGGGTGGCCGCTAGACTCATATAACTGTCATTAAACTCATTTATTTTTGCAATTAGGCTTTTAAAAAGCATTTTACACGTCCCAGTGTTACCACTGCTACGGGACAATAAATGGGCCAGTGCGGAGAATCTTCTTCAGGTTTGATTGGTAAGCACACAGTGGAAATAGACAAATTGTATTTGATTATTAATATGTTCATCTCTTTTGAATAATAAGCATTCAGAAACTAAGACATCATAAAATCCAAATTTGTTAGTTATCAAGTACACGTCAAAAACTAACCTCTTTTATTATTCTTACACAAATAGTTTTATTTAAACAATGATTCGAAAACTTTACAGTACATTATTATAGTCAGACAAAGTTGATGATAGAGACACAAACCACAAACGTTTGAGTTGGTAGAGCGTTGTCTCTTTCATTTATTCACTAATATAAATATCAGGCATGAAAATTGTTACTGCATTAATTGTTAGTTTGTTTTGTGCTATTTACATTTGCTACATAGGCACATGTAAATTATCTACTGTGCAATAAATAGATTGATTTATGTACGAATGGATTGTGACATTGTAAGTATCTATATTACATTATATGAAGGACACAGTTAAATTAGAATGTTTACTGAGTGCCTACTTAACGAGACCTATAGTGATGGTAATTCAGGTGTGTTCTCTATGGTGAATTATAAACTAGCTGAAGCCATTTAATTATAATTATTTTTCTCATAGCTCGTAGATTGTATTATAATTATTGTTACTACACCTGATGGTAAGTAAGCGAACTCATTCGATATCCCGAAAGAATTTAATCATACTTTTTTAATAACACTCCAAAATCTTGGTGGCTTTATACTTCTAAATTATAATATGTTTTAATCCGTATAACCAACACCCCAAACAAAGAAAAATATACATAATTAAAAAGCAACTAATGGTGCAAATAGTGAAAAAGTGCTAAAACAATCATGCAAAACTAATTTAATCTATGTAAAACAACAAAATACAGTGATGGCTGCTTCTTTTTGACTCGATTTAATTTATCAGTCATTACACTCTTATACATATTAGAAGTGGCTTAAAGACATTTATCCAATTTAACCTTGCCTTGCAAATAAATTCAGTCAATTTCGCCAAACAATAAGTCTGAATTATTTTGAGCCACTTCAATTTTTCCATACCAACAGTAGGTTATGGCACATTGTTTTTCAAACAAGTTTGCAAATTAGTAAATGTATAAACTGGCATTTTGTACGGGTAAGCAGTAAATCTGTATCTTAGTTTATGTTTTATCTTGTTAAGTTAGATACTCTTTCTAGCACAGGTGCCATATTTATTTATTTCATATTTATAAGTGCCCTGGGAAGGGCCTATGTACTGAATAAACTATTTTATTTGTTATAATGTTTTATGACGGAAATATCTTTTTTTTTTCATCTATTTTTGATGGCAAAGGTTTTTTTCATTTATTTATTTTCCATGTAAATACACACAGTAAACATTAATATCTTCTGCCAAACTGTGACACAGTTTGTCGGCAGCAGTTCTCACAATACTGTTATTACAATAGCCTCTAAATAACATTAAACAATAATATAATACAAGTGAAGTTGTCTGGTAGATACTGATTCAATTTCCAGTTCAATCTGTTCGAGTCGACTTCACACTAACTACAAAATTGCCGAAGTATAATAGCGTGAACTACAAAGTAAAGCGTGTATAAGTGTCACTTACTGTGGTTGCGGCGATGGAGGCGCGGGCAAGGCAAGGCGCGCCCTGCCGGCAGCCGCCGCAGCACCGGCCTTAATTTGGAACTCCCTGGAACGACAGATGACCATTAGACTCCCCACCGACTACAGACTATGTCGGCCGACAGTTTAGTCCAGTGGTTCTTAACCGGTGGTCCGCAGACCACTGGTGGTCCCTGGAGGCATTCCAAGTGGTCCGCGAAGACATCGTAATAAACAAGTGACGTGACGTGATGAGTCGAGTCAACACAACGCAAATGGCGTACAGTGGGCGAGAAATCGATCTCCCCTTTCAAAGGATTTTGAAAAAAAAAGTGGTCCCTGACAAGACAGAAATTTGGTAAAATGACTTATTAAAGGTTAAGAACCACTGGTTTAGTCGGACTGTTAATAAGTATGACAATACAATGACGAGCCCCCAATCTATAGGAATTGAAAAGCGGTGGTATTTTTCCTGATAAACCACAAGAGAAAAGGAAAGTGCTCGCTTCGCCTGGTGAAGGGTTAAAAACAGTTTTAACCATCAACCAGTCAATGGTAATATAGCAACCAGATTAGTTTGTACTTTATTAATTTGTAAACAAAAATAATGAAAAATTCATATCAGTTATTATGATAAAATGAAACCGCAACGCCATGTGGTTGATAGTAGTCACAAGTTAATTTCGTGTAAATTAATATTGGCTATTAATTGAGTAAAATGTGAAAACCGCACAAATTAACAACCTGTTAAAATACCCTCGAAGCGGTAGTCCCATACCAAAACTGATGGGACTATCGCTTGTATATGCGAACAGATAGGGACTGGAATTCGCTGCCCGCCGTTGTCTTTCTTGCACTTACAGTGCAGATATGTACCATCCTAGACTGCATCTCACTTAGCCTAGGCGCAGACCGCCGACTTTTAGTTGGCCGATAGTTGGGTCGGGCTGTTGATCAGTATGAACATGTATAGAAGTGCGCCACACTACACCGATTTGGTATCGGCCGATTTTTCATACAATATAAAATCGGTCCCAACTACCGGCCAACTAAAGCCTTGGGCAGACCAAACGCAGGGCAGTAGCAACGCAGTTTGAATGCGGGCCCGCGCAAGTTGTAATACAAGAAACTCTTTGAAGTGTGTCACACCAAATTTGAACGCGGACCCGTGCTCCAACCGCGCCGCACTGCAACTGCCAAAATACAAACAAGGCGGCGCGGGAGCGGGACAGAAGCGGCGCGAACGCGGGCCCGCGCCGTTGTCGGCGCGGACCCGCGCCACTATGGCGGCCATATTAGCATGACACCCCGGACGCAGGGCGGTAGCAGCGCGTTGAAAACGGTTTTCGAATATTTAAATTTTTGACAACCGCCCGCGTTGCAACTGCTTTGAAACTGCACTGCTTTCAGTGTGCCTCAGCGCGGTGCAAATGACCCGCACTGCTTCTGACCCGCGTTTGGGTCTGTGGAAGCCTCAAAAGTCGGTGGTCTGCGTCTAGGCTTAACATCAGGTGCGATTGTGGTCAAATACCTGCCTTTTTATGCATAAAAAAACATTGTTCCTCACCTGTTGAAGTCCTCGGCCTCCTCCTCCTCAATGTTGATGAACTCCTGGCGCTCCTCGGCGTCTCCAGAGTACACGTTTTGTTCGCGCTCGATTACGTGCGCGCGCTCGCCGATATGGTGGCCTATAAATTGAATTGTTTCAATCAAAATACAGATTACAGTTATAAGCTATAGGACTATAGTCTGAGGTGGAATTGTGTAAAGCAATCGTAATCATTTGACAGTTCATAACGTACGATAAAGTCAGTTATACAAAGCGTTTGACAGAATAATCGTACGTTATGAACTGTCAAATGATAACGATTGCTTTACACAATTCCACCTCAGACTATAGTCCTATAGCTACATAGTTCGGGAAGCTTCGCAATATACTCATGTCCGAAATACCGCAGTGTCTCAAGACGAAAGGATGGGTAGCTTGGGGTTATTGGACAAAATTCTATGTGCTCACAGACCGGGCTTTACCAAAACATTTACCACCTAATTTGAATACATAATAGTCTAAAATCTTTCAACAAATAAAAAGAACTTAAAATTCATGTAGGCGAGAGGAACGCGTAAATTATTAGCGCTCTCTCTCAGCTTCAATATGATCAAATAAATAAAAATACAGCACAGAAGAAGGGAAAAGGATTTGGAACGAGCTATGTCAACCACCAGGCAACCCAAGACAGACTGTTTTAGCGCCTTAGAATGAAGAGAGCCGACCCCGAATGAAAAATGTCTTTCCATCGTCATCGTCATTAGGTACAGGTTGCTGGCTACACAGGAGTTGCAGCGGTGGGTACGAGAGGTGGGAACAGTCCCGAATCATCATTTATGCGACAGAATGTAAAGATTTCATACATCTCATATAAATTCTCCAAACAATTTTTTTGTGAAAATTGAATATCCCTTTTTTCTGACATTAATTTGGCACACTAGATCGCAACACCTGCAGACTACGCGAGTAGGCGTTACGCAGACGACATGCAGACTTTTTTTTATATAATTTATAATGTACTAGCTTTCCGCCCGCGGCTTCGCCCGCGTGGAATTTTGTCTGTCACAGAAAAACTTTATCGCGCGCGTCCCTGTTTCAAAAACCGGGATAAAAACTATCCTATGTTCTTTCCCGGGACTCAAACTATCTCTATGCCAAATTTCATCAAAATCGGTTGCGAGGTTTAAGCGGGAAAGCGTAACAGACAGACAGACAGACAGACAGACAGACNACTATCTCTATGCCAAATTTCATCAAAATCGGTTGCGAGGTTTAAGCGGGAAAGCGTAACAGACAGACAGACAGACAGACAGACAGACAGACAGACAGACAGACAGACAGACAGACAGACAGACAGACAGACAGAGTTACTTTCGCATTTATAATATTAGTTGGGATAAATAAAAAGTAAGTATCTTAAAATAAAAATCTATTCAAAGAAGAAGAAGAATCGCAAAATGTGTTAGTAAGCGCATAACTCAACAACGCCTGGACCAATTTTACCAATTCTTTTTTTAATGTAAAGTGTAGTTTTTTTTAGTTTAATTTTCGAGCAAAATTCACCCCCTAAGGGATAAAACGGGGTCCACGCGTACGAAGTCGCGGGCAACCGCTAGTTGTGAATAAAAACCTCAGAAATGCTCTCACATGTCTATGAATCTAAAATAAACGTAGCGATTATGCTAATGAGACGTAGGCAACTTTTTACGGCCAAACAAAAACCCATCCGCCTAGAGACATGACATCATGGCTTCGCAAACAGATGTGAGATGAATGACTCCCATACCATTATTGATGGAGCGGAAAAACTAGACAGAAGCAATACTAGATGAAACATTCAGAGGACGCTCTGAATTCATAGTGCACATAGACTCATCTTGCAAATAAAAATGCTCGACAAATTAAAAATTAAATAGTGATATAGCCAAAACGATTCGCTTTCTATTTCAATTGATTAAATTGTATTCAAATTCACGTACTTAAAATGACAAATCTTTACGAATATTTAGTAACAGGGGAACGAATTACTTAAAATGTTTTGAGGGAGAACGTACATCTCTTCTTTAGTTGTAAATATTATACGAAATACATACTTTTTATTGCAATGCTTTTACATAATAAACAGTAAAAAGCGATATAGTTTTAGAACTAATGACAGCATATTCAGCCAACATATTATCAGTGAACGTTAAAGATTTTATTCAGTACTTATGGTACTTAGGCCCATTCCAGGGCGCTTATACAAGTCCCAAATGTAGCTTGCCCTACCACCACTTTGGAACAACAACATAAATGGGCTGGTGCTGAGAAGTGGCCCAAGAAAATAAGTGAAGGTGCGATTACATTTAAAAAAAGCATTTAAGTATATCTTTAACTTATTCTCTAGTATACATTTATGCTGATATTATATCACTAAATGTGGTTGCCCCATTCAGCCACCATTATCTAAAATTCTAAATTGCCCGAGTTCCAGACATATTGAGATTTTCCCAGCAAAGTATACCAATGAAACACGTAAAAGGCACATTATGTGTTTTACGCTCTATTTTTGCAATTTCACGATTTCCTAGACTGACTGATGGATGACTGAAACCTTATTAAAGGTTATTGTCTTACGAAACAAGTATTGTTTCATCTATGTTATGACACGTTTACAGGAGGACACCTTTAAAATTTTCAGCAATTTCCAACATTAATTATTTCCCATAAGGAAAAAAGTTGTGGAAAACAACTTAAGTTATCTGATAGCAATATTACCGACTTATAAGGGCGTAGGCCTAGCAGTAAATTACGTTAAGGGAGCATTTTCAGGGTCAGACACTTTTAACTGCGTAAATTAACCCTAGGCAACGTAGGCGGGCAATAAGTGCTTCAAAATTTCCACAATAAACATTGCGTACTTTGGTCAAATATTTGTAACCGTACCACCTCTGGTTACTTAACTTGGGGAACAAATTTAGAACAACATAAATAAAATTGTTAGGCAAGTTTTTCAAAGCTTCGTGCCTTTCAGGGCTTTTCAGCGCACGAAAAGGAAGCCATATTAGGGTTACGAAACATAACTTTCCTGTTTTTAAGCATGAAGACCTTTAAGACTGTAAATAACGAAAAAAAAAGATGTTATTGCTAACCTAAAATACTTTTTGCTTTTATTTTTGGTCATTTCTTACACGTGACTGCAGCCTTATCGTTAGTCATTTCAAACATCAGCTTTGACAAGTTTTCTATTCCAAATCAGCCTCAACTTTATATCATTTCTCTAAACAATCCCTCTCTCATTAATATTAGTAGTGTATTGATAATAACTCACGAATAATCCTAAAAAACAAGCAGTGGGTGAAGTGTAGGCCGAAATAATAATGATGAGATGATACTCGTACTAAAAGTACGCAAAGTCGAAAGCATCAAGCCATCCGTTTTTATGCCAAAATAGCATCTATTACTACGACATAAAATGCTACAGCATTTAGCATAATATGCTGTCGTCTAGATCAACGATGATCGCGACAGACGCTTACGCACGCGACGCGAATGACGCGCCAATCATGTGATACAGGGTGATATAGAATATCGGCTTGCCAAGCGAATCAGAACCTTAAAACATGTCGGTTGTCATTCCACCTACTACTATACAGGGTGGAATTTTGTAATGCCACCTGGAGAGAAAGTACTCTTAATACTGTAAATAGAAAAATTTACTGAAAGAAAACATTCCTTTATTTTTGAAAAGAAAGAGAACTGCATTCAAAGATTTTCGAAATTTTTTCGAAAATTCACTACCATACCATACAATTTTCTGTACATAATTAAAATAATTTAAGATTTCATGGTTTTCCTTTCATTTGATTTATCAAGTTTGTTAGAGAGATTTCATCCTTATACTTAACCCTAACGATCTATGTAATAAAAATACAGGGTGTAATTTTTTACAGATTTTAGTTGGTTCGATTCCCGGGTGTGGCAAGCAAATTTTTGGCAATCTTTGATTGCAGTTCTATTTCTTTTTAAAAATAAAGGAATGTTTTCTTTGAGAATTTTTTTCTATCTACAATATTAAGAGTACTTTCCCTCCAGGTGGCATTACAAAATTCCACCCTGTATAGATCTAGCACTTAACTCAGTCAGTGCCTGAGGAATGGGAGCGGCACGGGAGGGTGTTTTTGAGACGTCACACGTCAGCGAGACTTCAGATTTGTATCTTTGTCACGTCATTATATTATTATGTCAATGTCACCCCTCCCGTTCTTCCGCTTCCATACCTCAAGCACTGACTAAATTAGTTAGTTAACCTTTAAACTAGCTTTAACGCGCGCCTTCGTGAATATCGGATTGTCACAGAAAAACCAAGATCGCGTACGTCTCCCCTTAAAACAAAGGGGATATAACTATCCCTTGTTTCAAAAACCTTCCTCATGAATTCCTGAGCATCAGGGGATGGGAACTACCTACGCTGGGATCTGCAGTTCGGCGCAGACACCATAGGCCCAAATAGGTAGATTTGAAAAGACAATAAAGTTGGAATCTAAATAATTTGTAAATGACATTCAATTTCCAACACTTTTGGAGTGACATTGGTTTGTATTTTTTGAGCTTGAAGTTTCTCCAGCTTCAAATAGGTATTAGCGAGTACAGAAGGTACTCAAGCAATTTAAAGGAATGACACTTAGGCCCGGTTTCGACCAAAGCGGAGCGGAGAAGACCGGAGAAGTGACGGGCCGTCAAATTTTTCTATAGAATTTAACAACGGCGGCGGCGCAGCGCGGATCGGTGCTGTGCGGAGCTAAGAAGAGATGTGTAAATAATGAAATCTGATTGGTTATTCAAAATACTTCTCCGATCTACTTCGCCTTGGTAGAAGGCCTGTAATATAAATAGTTGATCACTTACCAATAGACATCTTCTTGGTGCCTGTGCAGGAGTCTTGCAAGGTCTTTCTGGTCTCCTTGACTCCATTGGGACCAATTTTAGTGCTGCTGGAGGATTGGTATATCTGGACAAATATATTTACTAATTAGAGCTGTAATAATTCATCTACAAAGTAGATATTACTCATTGCAATATTGCTAAAATATGTTTTACTTAATTTTGTTACAATATTAATAAACAATATTTATTAGTTTGTAACTAATCAATCTATGTACTCTTGTTATCATATCTACTTTTGTTGTTTTTATTAATAAATTACATATTCTAAATAAGTAAATAGTTCGTACAATAACACTATACCTGTGGCTTGCCGTTTGGTCCACTGGACATGACAACTGTGCTGCTTGTGAAAGAAGAACCAGCACTCATATGGCCGTCCATGTCCGCTACAACAAAACGTAATAATGAACATCATGGTCGCCTTAAATAATCGAACCATACAAGAAAATATTTACATAACAATAAAGTTGTCATAATAAATGGCATGGCTCAGCTTGTGCAAAAGTTGCAAACAGCAAAGAATGACGGTGATGGACAATAATATGAAATATTTGAAGAGGAGCATACATACTTCCATTTTACTAAAAGATTTCACAACTCTGCTGCAACAACACTCAACGATGTTTAATATGTGATCTTTAGCTGCTGGCCTGCCTTATTTAATCAAGGTATTGAAAATGTTCAGTTTCGCTTTGGGCTATGAATAAATAATTTAAAATCGTTACCTGAAAAAAGCCTGTTCAAAGATGGCATCTGAGGCATAAACGGCATGAGGGAGCTCCCGTGGCGCGGGCCCGCGATGGCCAGCGGACCCCCGCCCAGCATGCCGAAGGGGTCCGAGAACAGAGAGTTCATCATGTTGTTCATCTGGCGCATGTGGCGCATGTGAGAACTGCAACAATTAACAAAAGCACCATGTCATACGACGCACTCACGCCACAAATTACCACGCCATCGCAAACTCAGTACCACTATTAACGCCCAAACAACTTCAGTCACTAAAAAATTAACTAATCGAGCGAATATAATCAAATTAATCAATAAATCGCATCACAACTGAAAAACTCACCCGAAAAACGGATCATCCTCCACGTCGCCCATCAACGATCCAAAAAGAGACATTGTTGAAAATTGTTAAGAAAATATTACACAGAATTATTCAAGGGTAAAAGAAATAACGAATTCTCCGAGATAACTTTTCGCGCAAACAAACAAGCTCGAGAGAAATCGAAATCTCTAGTAAAATCCAAGGGATTGGAAATAATTCCACCAAAACCACAAAGCACAAAGTGTCAACGTTTTTTTTTTACAATGACATTAATAGTGCCGTGCTGCTGCGTGTTATGTTGCAAGTTTCGTGATTCGATAAAGAGTCATTAGTCAACTGCCATTGTCTGTGGTAAGGTTGTTGTACGCTACTATACGACCTGTGAACTACGACCAAAATAAGGGACTACGACGACGAGACGAGTCACGAAGGAAGGACGTTAAAATCTTATTCGTTAATTTGCAATTTCCGCCCAATGGGACAATCAGGATTTCCTTCCAGATTTCATAGGAAATTATAATGGAGCGCACCCGACAGTATTCAGTCTGACCAACTTCGAAATGAAAAGCTCGAAACCATTGTATTCAATATATTTATTTCATTTTTCTCTGTGTAACATTCTGACAACTCGAACAATAAATAAGATTCGCCAACCACTTATTCAATTACAATAGTGTCACAAATTATTTTCCACACAAAACACTGAATAATGTTTTTCAATGCACATCACAAGATACTAACACATCACTCTCTTCACGCAATTTTACCTTATATTCCGAAAACGGTAACCAACAGACGCGATGGGACGATAGGTATTCGTTCCATGGAAAGACCACGCAGCCGAGGAAGGGTAGGAAGTGTAAACCACATCTTGTAATCCATTTCTTAACTTAGCTTGACGAGTAGGGATAGGAGACGAAGGCTGTAATCCAATATTTAATAATTAAAAAATAATAATAATAAATGATAGGAATGTAAATAAGTAAATATTAATTTTATCAACAATACAATACAAAAATGTAGTAAATAATTAATAACATAAAGTACCTTTATCGGAGCATCTCCCTGCGGCTTATTGGTTGGAACTGGTACATCTCCCATATTGTTGTATCCCATTGGCTGGGCTTTATTGGTTATTTGGTGACTAGCCAATTGATTATTCGCAGCAGTATCACCTCCAACTTTCTCCACAACCACTGGCTGCGGAGGATTATTATTGGTCGGAGGGATATTTAACTTCCCTTCAGAGAAAGTACCTCCTTGAACAGGAGGTCGCCCTCCTTGAACAGGGGGTCGCACGTTCTGTTGCGTGAAAGATTGCGATCCTTTGTACTGATTGTAGATATGCTGTAATTGACTCCTGCTAGGAGTTCTGCCGACAGGCTTGTTGCCCATTAAAGAAGTTTTACTGATAGTGGATTTTACATTACTATATCTCATGTAATCATTACGAAGCTTAGTAGCAGGTTGGGGCGACAAAGTCTGAGGAAGACCAGGCTCCGGTGGGTGAAACATTTTTGCAGGTAACATTTCAATTGGCTGGCCTAGTGTATTGTAATCTAAGTGCTTCACAGGCTTCGAATATATAAATGGTCGATTTCTTGACGTATCTGCTGGGAATATTGGATCTTTATACATAGGCTGAGGTGGAACAGCACCCTGTGGATCTGCCTGTTCAGGTGGCGAAGGTTGCATCTGACCATTCGGATCCGTCATGCCTTCGTTATATCCACCGGGCATTGTAGGTGGCGTCATAGCCGCTCCTGTATTGGGATCCGTAATGTATTGAGTCTGTGGTTGTTGATATTGTTGGTTAGGATTTAATTGTTGTTGGTACCCTTGCAATTGCTGTTGTTGTAATTGCTGCTGATTAGGAGGTACTGCTCCTGTGACAGCTGTATAAACTTGCTCTTGTTGTTGTTGATATGGCAGTTGTTGTTGTTGTTGTTGTTGAAGAGGTTGAGAAACAATTCCAGTATTTTGATTAATTGCCTGTTGGTTACCAGGTACAAACTGTTGATTAGTATTTTGTAGAGGATTAATATTATTCTGTTGACCACTCAGTATTTGTTGACCACCAGTTTGGTTAACATAAGACACGTTTTGCTGGTTCTGATCAACGGGAACAGTGTTAGATGGATTTATATTTTGTACGGCAGTTTTTGTCGCGTCCATTACAGGCTTCATTACTGATGGATCCATAGCTCTACTCATCGGACCACTAGTCATCATTTTTTGCATAGTATCCATGGCAGCCTTCTGCTGATTAGCTGGATTCATTTGAATAGCAATCGCCATGGGATCGAATCCCAAGTCACCACCTTGCATTACACCAGGGAACATCTCGTTAAACTTCATTACGCCTTGAGTATGTTGGCCATATTGACCAGCGGCTGGTGCTATTTGTTGAGCACCTGGATTTGCAGTGCCCATTTGAGGGCTACCTGAAACCATTCCCATTTGTGATGATCCTTGAGGCGTAGCGTTCTGGCCCATATTTCCCATCATTGGGTTTCCTTGGTTTGGTAGCTGGGTCATATACTGTGTTGTTGGGTTTTGACCATAACCGGCTCCATTGTTACCTTGTTGATTAAATGAGTTACCTAAGTTTCCTCTAAACTGATGTGTTTCTAAAGATGTATTAATCGGCGTAATCCCAACTTGACCGTGAGGAGATTGGGGAGCGTCAATAACTGTAGGCCCTTTTAATTGCCCACCTTGCATACCTTGAGCGTTACTTGGCTTACTACTGCCATCTCCCATTATCATATTCATAATTTGAGGGCCCATACCACCCATAGCGTTCATTGGTTGACGTGATTGTTCCATTGCCATAGTATTAGGGTTAGTATTTCCCATTCCAGGCATGTTATGCGCGCCTGTAAATCCACCAGAAACATCACCTTGCATCGTGGCACCTGAACTTCCTTGTGAAAGGCCCATCTGATTTGCTAAAGGACTATTCATAACTGCATTTCCAGGGTTAATACTCTTGAGGTCATCATAAACTTCTTTTACAACTGGTTGCATTAAATTGTTGTTCAGATAGTTGTAGGTGTCAGCATAAAGCTTTGGTGGGTTGCAATGACCCATACAGGGACGATTCATGGAGTGATTCATAGAATACGGCTCACCAGCACAGGGAGTGCCCATATTATATCCATGCCCATGGCAACACCCCCGTCTGCAACCTCCATAACTTTGCATTGGGCTGCCCATAGATGCACCTTGATTTTGATTCTGATTAGAAAACAGCTTGCCCATACAGCCACTGGAAAAAATGTTTAATTGAAATACAGTTTGGATAGTAAAAGTGATGTTTCATCGTTACAGGAAAGCTTATTTTTATCATAATATAATTATAAAAACCTCAGAATACGGAACAAACAGTTTGTTCTGTATTCTGTCTGAGATAAAAACGTACCACGACGCTACTTTTAATAGAACGCAAGAACACTTACCAATCTGCACTTTTAAGCTGGTTCATAACACTACCCAATTCACTCAATATTCTTTGTCTATCCAAAGACATTTTCAGATAGTACTTAAATAATTTTAAATTTTCTCATCAATTTACAATAAATTTTTAAAAACCTTAAAATTTAGACATTACAAAAAATTTCACTATGTAAAATGACACTGAGCTATTTTGTTTTTAATGAATTCCAAAAATTAAATTTTATCGTTGACTTTTCAAAAAATGTAAATGGCCAGTCTTAATTATACCAACTAAAATAGGACCGAAAAGGATTTAAGGAACTAGTAAAAAATATTTGCTTACAATTTTATTGATTCTATATTTTATTGAATCATAGAATTTTAAAGTAAATATTTTATTTAAAGTAAAACTATCTGTACTGCTGCTGACTGCCACATGATATTAATATAATTTTGAAATCGATTAACACTTTCATATTTCGATATTCTAGTCGATTAAAGTATGAACATCCTTAATTTTGACGGTAATGACGTTCCATTGCGGTGTTGGTGATTTTTTGTCCTTTTCTTTCTTTAGCTGGGCCCTATTACGAATTTCATGTTTTTTCTCTCACTAACTACTCACTAAGTCACTAAATTCACTAATCCTTTCATTTTGAAAGCAGGTCGCACTGGTTGTACAACTTCTACGCAAATATTCGTTAATTCCTGCTATAATTTCTCCTATCGCTGTTATCTTTGTTAAATTTAATCATACGTGACTAAGGAAGATATCAGTTGTTCAATTCACAGAGAGTTCAATTAGTTTTATTGTGACTTCGAATCTCCGTCTTCGCTGTCGTCTACAATCAAGAGGTAATTATCAAATTTCCAAAATGGGTAAAAAAGTGTACGTTGTTGGTGTTGGAATGACGAAATTTGTGAAGCCCGGCTCGGGAAAAGATTACCCGGATTTCGGCAAAGAGGCCGTGTTAGATGCACTGAAAGATGCGGGAATCAAATACGACGACGTACAGCAAGCAGTTTGCGCCTATGTATTCGGTGACTCTACTTGCGGTCAGCGAGTGCTATATCAGATCGGTATGACGGGGATACCGATATACAACGTTAATAATAACTGTTCGACTGGCTCCAACGCATTGTTCCTTGCCAAACAACTTATTGAAGGTGGTATATCTGATGTCATTCTCGCGGTAGGCTTTGAGAAGATGGCTCCTGGTGCGCTAGGCGCCGGTGCCTTCACAGACAGAACCAACCCTATGGACAGGCACATCCTAAAGATGGCCGACATGACCGACATCGCGCCAGCACCCATGACCCCACAGTTCTTTGGTAATGCCGGAATTGAGCACATGAAGAAGTATGGTACTACTGAGTTACACTTCGCCAAAGTAGCAGCCAAAAATCACCGTCACGGTGCCAAGAACCCCCGAGCACAAAACAACAGAGAGTACACAGTCGAGGAGGTGTTGAATTCGAGAAAGATTTACGGTCCTCTTACAAAACTACAGTGCTGTCCGACTAGTGACGGTGCTGGTGCTGCAGTCCTGATGTCAGAGGAGGCAGTCAAACGTTACGGTCTCCAGAATAAGGCTGTAGAGATCATTGGTATGGAAATGGCAACAGACACTCCTGCTGTTTTCAATGAAAACAGCTTGATGAAGATCGCCGGCACGGACATGACCGCATTGGCCGCCAAGCGTTTGTATGAGAAAACTGGTGTGTCACCAATGCAAGTCAATGTGGTTGAACTTCATGATTGCTTTTCGGCTAACGAGTTGATCACATACGAAGGTTTACAGTTGTGCGGAGAGGGTGAAGCAGGGAAGTTCATTGACGCCGGAGACAACACGTACGGTGGGCGCGTAGTAGTGAACCCTAGCGGTGGGTTGATAGCTAAAGGGCACCCGCTGGGCGCTACGGGCTTAGCCCAGTGCGCAGAACTCATATGGCAGCTCCGCGGTGAGGCTGGAGACAGACAGGTTGGTTTCAATATTGGGTTACCTTTGGGTTTCACTGTGAGAGTATTCATGATTGGTTGAAGGGTCATTCACAAATGGATTTAGGTAAAATGTGGCTTTAATGTATTGAGGATTTGTATGTTTTTTGTTACTGAGAGCATGACAAGCTAATTTGTATCACTAAAGTTAGATAAACATGATTTCTATCCTTATTGTTATAAGGATCATTTTGGTGTTGATGAGTTGGTGATTCACATTGTGACGTTATACTACATAGGCTGCTCTTTACAAACACAAGCTTGATTATATTATGACCTTTGTATCCTACACTGATAATAAGATGTTGTGATGCCATTGTTTGTCCTACAAAACAACTAGATTTCTAAATTCTTTGCTATTATGTATTGAATATTTTTCTTTGCTTTCACAAATTTTATTGTTGTACTCTTTGTAATGATTTTTCTAATATTTTCAAGGTTCTATTTGAAAACTAAACATGTATTGAGACTCGGAATTCCATTTCTCATAAACTTCATGAATGTTAACTAAGTACCTACTAGGGCCACCAAGAGAGAAGGCAATTAGGTCAAATTCCCCTTGGCAAATATCTATAGAATAGGCTAGAAGCATGTAACAACACTAGGTTAGAGTATTATGTATTTACCTACATAAAGTGATTTTAAATACCCATTTATTATTCTAAGCCAGTTGGTTCATTCTATGCAGTCATGTGCTTTTATTATCTAACCATTCTAATGGTTTTGTTAATTTACAATGCAAATAGTCTTGGGGCCAATGAGCAAACAGTTGACTCTACAATTCACTGTGCTTACAGTCAAGGGCATTCGTTTTTAGTTATTTTGGCTTGGTACGTCGTTTTTAGTCATGTTCCCCTGGAGCATCTATTCTGTAATATCTCCAATATTCCTAGCTGCCTACTAGGAATGGCAAAAGGGAGGTTATAGTCGGGGAGCTTAATCTCCATATAACTCTTAAATGCTTCGATTTAAAGCGACAAAACACAAGTAAATTACATTCAAACATATTCCGAAAGCCCTTAAATTCGCGACAAGTAAGTACAAGTCACCCATTTTGTTTACTTGAAACTGCAATCGCGACACGAAGGTTATCAACGCAATGGTCGTTGCCCCAAATGTGTCGAAATAATATTCATGTTGGTTTTACTTAGGCTACCTCATACATTATGTGGTTGTAAAATTTTCCTTTGACCCTGAGACACCCTTCTCTTCACTGTTTGTTTCACTTAATATGTGAACAATCTACCAAAATTGAGTAAAAGTCTGTCGCCATAACAACAATGTTACAGCATTGTTGTGTTCCGGCATTTGGAGGTAAGAAGATAGCCAGTTCCTCTGTGGTGGAGGATTCAGGTAACGCTCGCTTCCACCTACGGCCTGATCATCTCTTTCTATAAGGCGAGATGCAGGCCGAGAGTTTCCTCGTTGTGGATTAAAAATATTGACTCCACAAAAAACCATGATTTCTCAAGTGTAACCTGCTTGAGCAGTTTTAAATACACCTACGTTTTCCGTTGCTATATTTACACTCATTAGCATAGATGTGTAGAAACTACATGTTAGTTTCTATTTTCTGCCTACAACAGACATAAACTTAAGTTCGATCTGTGTCGATGATATTTTTATTTTCTTGAATGATTCTTTGTGTGAATCTGTTTCAAGTCTATAAGACAAGTTTACCTAATTTTATTTTCTTTTAAGCACTTTAGCTATTCCTAACGATTTGTTTTAATTCAACAATCACCTTTATCTGAAACAAATAACATTTTATCGGATGTTAACATCCAATATCAATACGCAATTGAATAAATACCTCCACAAACTTTAATCTAATTGTATCGTAACTATTAGATAAATGATGTTATTGATCGTAATAAAAATTTAAATCTAAAATAACTCCGCTACACTTTTTACAATTAAAAAAAACTGTGGGTCTAGACAAAGTGCACATTATAATCGCAAACCAGTCGAAAAGTGGTCGAAAGGCCATTGACGGATTCGATTTTCGATTCGATCAAAAAGTGCACTTTGTCTAGAATCTAGACTCTAGATAGACCAACTGGAGGAATAAAAAAGACTGAAGAAAAATAATTTTCTTTAAAAAAGAAAACTAGACGAAAGCTATGATTAAGCCGTCATTTAATTTTCTTGTCCTTCCTACCTTAGCTTGCCCAAAGTCATACCTACCTGCTTAATTAAGTCGCAGAAGGTTATTTTACGTCAACTGTGTCAGAATAGTTAGCAAGTTGAACTCTCGACCCGGCTCTCGCGCCTGTCTAAAGGTCGATTCTCAGACAAGACACATTAAACATTAAATGCGACGTAGAATTGTTTCGTAGTGTTAACTTAGAATAATAATTTAATATGTATTCGTCTGACGTTAAAAAATCCTTATTGATATGAATAATTCACTGTTCAATCCGTCTGTGAATCTTTTAGCCGATTTACATAATATTTTGAAAGCAGCTACTCTTTCTTGAATACCGATCTGCCGCATTGCCTTAAATTCAAAAACAAATTCTCTTACATAACATCTAGGAAGAACCCATTTTTCTCCAAGTTTTCAAGAAGTAGAAGCCATGTCTTTCAACAAGGTCCTAACTTCTATTCTATCCAAATTTACATCTTTTGGTATAAAAATAGTCAAAACTGGTTTAGACTTCATGGCGTTGACGTATTTTGTGGGTATTTTTAACTGTCCAAATGTTTTGTAAATTACCTAAATGTGTATTTTAAATGGAGTAAAACAGAACAACTAACGAAGTAACGACATAGTACATACATGATGTATTACGCACACACAGTTACTAATTATTATAAACATTCGACATTGGTTGCTTGACTTTACATGACAGGGTCAAATCTTCTTGGTAACATTTATATGTATTTATTTATGTTACTAGTATACAATGAATTCAAAAGTTATTTGTAAGTCTTTAGTGGATAAACTCAGTTATAAACGCACGCACGCCAAATTTGCACATAAATAAACTAAGTAGGTACTTCTTCGTTGCTACACTCATGGCAAAGTGGTCGTGGTCGTCACACCTGGTTTGGTGGCAAGCTTCACAATCCATCGCCATTCCTCCCGCATTTGCATCCTTTTTAACTAAGTCACAAGACACCAAATCCACACCACAGGATTCTGCTTAGGTAATGTGTCCACGTCTGTACATTTCAGATTTAATTGACCTTTAAAAAAAATACATAATGTCTATCTGTACATACACGAAAATCCTCGCGGGCCAAGCAAGCCTGGGGAATATACTAGTGTTTTATCATATTTGTGTCTTTTGTGTTCACATTTGTCAAATAATCGAAATCAGCATATTACAACTGTATTATCAACACGTGTAAAATCTTTGTTGCTTAATCATTTTATCTGATAATAAGGTTTATTTTATTGTACTTGTACTTTGTGAACTTTGTCCCGTTGCCAATGTACTTTGTTATCGTGCATGAGGAATTTCTCGTGTTTTCATCTCAAACTGTAACTCAAAGTCAAACCTTTTCAATGTGACTCAAATGTATTCTTTCTACCTGTATTGTTTTGTGTGAATTGTGCATTTTGATCGATCAATTTTATAATGTGTGTCTCTACCTCTTTAGAATTATGTTTTCTGGACAGGTTATTCAATGGAATTAATATGTCATTACAGGTGCCGCGCGCCAGAATAGCCCTGCAGCACAACTTAGGCCTGGGAGGTGCAGTCGTCGTCACTATGTATCGCAAAGGCTTCGAAGGTGCATCCGCCAACCAGGTGGCCGCCTCGGCTAACCCTGAGGACTTCAAGGTCTACAAGTACCTGAAGATCCTCGAAGAAGCCATGCAGACCGACGAAGACAAGCTCATCGAGAAAGTCCGCGGCATATACGGCTTCAAAGTCAGGAATGGACCCAACGGCAGCGAAGCCTACTGGGTGATCAATGCCAAAGAGGGCAAAGGAAAAGTCACGTACGACGGCAAAGAGAAACCAGACGTAACCTTCACGATCAACGACGAGGATGTCGCTGATCTTATTTCTGGAAAACTGAACCCACAGAAGGCCTTCTTCCAAGGAAAGATTAAGATCCAGGGCAACATGGGTCTTGCGATGAAACTGACAGACTTACAACGCCAAGCGTCTGGAAGAATTGAAGCCATTCGCTCTAAGCTGTAATCGGGAGAAAATCGGCAGAACGCCGAATTATTTGGTTATGGAACTGAGGTGCGTGGGCATTTTATAGATATTATTATTAACGCAAAACTCTCTATTGATGTGATCGTTACAATTTTTTACCTGAGCAGGCCACAATTGTAGTTTAGGGTGCAATAATGTTGTTATTGTTAAGAATATGAAATCGACTTTATATTTTATTTATCATGTATGATTTTTCATTCCATGTATTATACGGATTTTTGGCACTATTTTGTCAATAAATAGTTTTGTACAAATAAGACTAGAGTTTATTTATAGTTGTAGTGATTACCTAATAGCTAGACAAAGTTCATTAGATAAACGTATCATTCAGTTACAATCCTACCGTTTATCTTATCATTTGGTAAAATAACGCTCATTCGAAAGGTAAAAGCGTGTTAGTCGAATACAAGTTATTGTAAAAAGTGTTGTGTACAAAGTTGACAGATATTACAGTTCTATGGCCTAAATTTGCAGTCTGAGAGAAGTGAAAGGTTCTCTCCAAACAAACAATTTCTGTGTGACCATCAGCGCCATAAAGCCAGTGGTGAAGTTTAGAACTAAAACTGACGATTAATACAGCGCCATCTAGTGGAAAATGATATTGTAATGAAAATATTATGTACATTATAAAGAGGAAAACTTTGTTTGTTTGGTTGTAATGAATAGGCTGAAAAACTACTGGACTGTTTTTAAAAATTCTTTCACCATTCGAAAGCTACATTATCCACGAGTAACATGGCTACATTTTATTTTGGAAAAAATATGTAGTCCACGCGGGCGAAGCCGCGGGCGGAAAGCTAGTTGTTGTATAAAGTTACATGGATCTACTGGATTAGATGCAAAGGTCAATAAGATAATATGAAAACTTAAGTTATTATAAATAGAGTCTTGTTAACTTGGGTTTAAGCCCTCTCAAGACTAATAAGATCCATAAGGCGATAGTGCTGCCACCGTTGTTGTTTCGTTAATTCTATAATCAACGAAAAAAAATATCTCAAAAAAATTAAAAGGTTAATCTATCTATTATATAAAAGAAAGTCGTGTTAGTTACTCCACTTATAACTCAAGAACGGCTGAACCGATTTAGCTGAAAATTGTCAGGGAGGTAGTTTAGAGCCAGGAGAAGGACATAGGATACTTTTTATCCCGTTATTTATTGCCATTAAGGCGGAACAAAGTTCGCCGGGTCAGCTAGTTTAATTTAAATGTAAAACTATGTGCCAGTTATCATCTCTTCAAAACAAACATGAGAATAACGACTACGAAAGTTAAGAAAATAATTAAAAAATGTACTAACACTGCAGTTGTAGGCGCTCATTGTCAGTTGTATCTAAGTAGCCATTAGCATTAACTACTTATAAAGGAAGGAAATTAAATAAAAAACGTTGGTTTATGAGATAAATTCAATATATTTCCTCGGGCATTGAAATTTCATTAAAATATTATAAAAGCGATGTCAAAACTCATCATCAGTATAAATAAAGATATTTTAATACAAATTATATTATTGAATAAACATAAATAACACGCAGTTATTAAAATTGTCGATGATTTCAAATATGAACAGGCTTTTTTCATTGAGGTAATTCTTTTTGCGACATTTTCGAAATGTCTGCGCTAAAACTGGACCCTAAGTAAAATAGGCGATATTTCTGTAGTGTAGCGCTATTTAAAAAATCTGTTCACATTTGAATCTCGATAAATAAAATAAATTGCAACCACTTGACGTCTCCGAGATCGTTTCTATCCTTACTCATATAAAATTGTATGATTGGCACGATACATTACGTCATTCAATTGTTTGTATGAGATGCAGATCAAGTAAACGTAAAAATTTTGAACTATTTTCAACAATTAATGTATGCTTGAAAGTCGTTATTCAAAATTGTAATCACAACAAGAAATACCCACCAGTTTCCCATTCTCTGGCCAATTATTTGGTTTCTTACTAAAGCTCAAACCTGGCTCCTAAAAAAGTCAATATTATTTTGGATACCCAGAATGCCAGTGTACCTACTTTTGTCGTATATTGATAACGTTGGCGCATAGATCCAGCTACAGCTTGGTGTACAAAGGTTAATTATATTTGACCTAGCCTAATAGCCTTTATTTATATTTGACTGTTTACCAATTTGGCCAGTGAATGAGAAACCTTCAGCAAGCCTTCTAAATATCCTGTCCATCATGAGCTCTCCCCTCGGAGACGTCAGCTAGCGTGTACAGTTAACCCGAAAGCATTGCGCTGCGCGTACGCCGAAATATAGCGACTAGGGTAGCCAAATGGCGTCAAGCAAGGGACTCGAATTCTGTGGGCAGGCATAATAATTTATGATCGAAATAGCAAAAATCGATTCAAATCGATTGCCCTTTATTTTCGAACCTAGTTTGATGCTTTACCAATACTCGAATTTTCTATGAAAATTGTAATTGCCAGGAACAAAACCTCTACAAATGAGTATAACTGACGCTTGGCCATTTTTAGAGACATTGGCTCTACATTTAATCAATATGTCGATGAAACATTCGGTTCGTAATTGCTTGACGCCACTTGACTGCCTTGTATCACTTGCAAGTCAGGGTACGAGAGCTTTTCACCCTTGATATGGCGGAGACCAAGACGATGGAACACATTGCTTGCAGCTGGACGTAGTGCCCTTTTGTCAAACATACATTGAGATCACAGGTATGTGTTACACCCACATAGCACGCAACCGACTGACTCAGAAAACGGAAATCAAATAAAGCAACATTTTAAATAAAACTAAATAAAAGTCCCTCTACACACAGTTACCTACAAACGTGACAGTTGAAATCGCTTCGCTCCAGCTTATTTTTTTAAGTGCAACAGTTGTAGATCGTCTTCGTGAAGCGATTTCGAATACAACTGTCACGGATGTCACTTTATCTAGTCTAGAGGTAAAGGACGAAGGTTCGCTGTTTACATTCATTTTTTAACTATACATTCTATAGGCCGTTTTAAGATGATTTAATAACATTACAGCTATTCCCACAGTCATATTGGCAATGCCACTACTACTAAATTAAGACCAACAAAAAGGGACTTTATCAAACAAAGTCTCAATCTAAATTAGTCTGTAATTTAAGTTATTTTCCGTCAAAACCGTAACCGTTGACATTGGTAAATGGATCTCCATTACGTAAAATATTCATTGTAATACCTATTTTAAAATTAATAGGTGAGAGACAGTTCAGTTGCGTGCGACGAATACCACGCCTCCGCTTCTGGCACACTCGTGCGCAGCAAATTTTAAAACAAACACTATTTACACATCGGCCCCTCACTGTCTGTTGCTCTTAATCTCAAAATATACTTTGTTTATCACTCATTAAAACGATACAACCTAACGAGCTCGTTCGTAGTTTTAGAAAGGAAAGCCAAGATCATTTGTCAGGTATTTATTTAGCACCATTTCATATTTTATTTGAATGAAGACAGTGAGAGACGACATCCTTCTGGAAACTTTTCTACCAACGCAACAATAATATACAGCCTACGCTAATAATTAAAGCATTATTTTAGTTTCAAAATGGCCAAGCCACTAATTTTGATGCAAACTAAAATAAGTCATTTATAATAACTCCAAACAATAAAATGATAAAACAACTTTAAAAACCAAAAATAATTGCCAATACTAAAAATATTAACTTTTATACAATTTAACACTAAGTTAGCCAAGCCAAAAATATCATAGCACCAAAATACGTATTAACAAAGCATTGATAGAAAAGTTTCCGAATTTTAATATAACTTAATGTGTATAAGACATACAGTCCATTTCTAATTACCTACGCTACATTATTTAATTATTTAAACAATAAGTTATTCTTATTACACTCGCTTACAGTAGGTACCTATTTGAATAATATATTAATAAGTAAATGGTAATTTATTTTCTCAAAAAGTCTCTGACTAGAGATATAACCTAACCTAGAACTGAACTTATAACAACTACCTAACTAATGTAACATAGCACTCTTTGAAAGGAAAATCATCATAAAAGAAATAAATTATATTCTTTAAACAATTTGAGCTTGGCCAAAAGATTAACAGTCACACATTCTGTGAAATTAAATTTCACAATCGCTTCACAATTTTATTGCGCTCTACACGCCCTGACTACCGAGTCGGTTAACTACTTCCTTGGGCCTCAGAATTTTAACGATACATTACAGCTTATCGCATAAAAGTACAACATGCTGCATTCTGGAAATTTCGAGATGGCTTCATTCTGCCTAGCTTCAGTAAAATAAGCCTTAATGTATCGGTAAAACACTGGTGCTAGCACCAATTCTAATTTATTACAATATGCTCACCATGATTATACCTAAAGTAGATTGGTACTAACACAACAGATGGCTTCTAATCATAGACTGCTATGAGAATCACACGAAATCACGTCGAATGTCGCCATTCGCATTTTGTGTCTGTCGACACGCTACGCTTAATAAAAAAAGAATCTTGCTCAGTCACAAAAAATATGCAATAAAAAAATGCACAGTTACTGGCAAAGGCTACACCGCATTGGGCGGTACTTCTGTTCTGACACGATACAGGAATAAAATAATTCTATTTCAGGTGACTTCATTTCAGGTTGATGTTTTATTTTTTGGATAAACTCGTTTCAATTTTGCGATTATAGGTAGCATATTATTCTAAAATGCATGGCATGTTTTTGTTGTGACGAAAAATTAAAGTAATAAAGTTTACTGTTGGAAATCAAAAAGGAATAATTCATTACAATATCCTATTCTGAAAGACTAAATACTCGTATTTATTAAGCTGCAAATATTTGTCAATATCATTAGCATGCTGAGAATACTAAAACTGATCAAGCAAGCAGAAGGCAGTATACATAGTTACAAGGTGTATGTTGGTTAAAATAGCACTGATACCTAAAATATTCCGAAGTATGAATAGGATTTCGATAAAATATGGCAAAATTGCCAATAAAAGGCGGTAGATACGGAGACTTGGTATCGTGGAAGCAGAAGTTTCCTACCTAACTTTCATCCTATTCATCTTCTACATTAACGTTAGGAAATTTACAACATCAGGCAGTGAGTTTAATATTTTTTTCACATAATAGAAATTATTGCTTCAGTATAGGCTCAATCAAAATCGAATTCTAAAATTAACATCAGCTTAACAAGAATTTTCTTAATTTTAGCCAAAATTTTTATTTACAATGAGGTAGAGTTTGGGATAATTCCCTTATTTTTAATTTGTCAGCCAGGACAATAGAATTTACTGTTAAATATTAAAGTATCAGCTGTCTCGCATGTAAGTAATAATCATTTTTGTATAACCTGCGAAAATACATAAATAATGGGATGAAAAACTTTAGCGTTTAGGGTCACCGCTCACACGGCACAGTGTGCGAGCGAGGTTAAGTTAACATTTACAGTCCCATTTTAATAAATACGCGAATTGTAAATAATATTCAATGTGAGACAGCTGTAAGCGTTATTACACTTATGAACTTATTTAGGCACAACTAAAATTAAATAATACCCTCACAAAATGGGTATCATTAAAAGTGCCGTAAAGTCAGAAGTAGTGAGAAAAATTGCGTTTTTCTACAATCTCCTAAATAGTAACGTTGATTGAGACAAGACATATTGTATTGAATTCACGTGTGAAATCACTAAATATTTCATTATTTTTGGTATGGTTGAGGTTTATACAGAGTTATTTAGCTTAAAAATAAACTAATATAATTCATAATGACGCGGTCACTGTACTTTTGATGTGTATGTTGAGTATACGGTGGAAACTGAAGTAGTAAACTTAATACATAGGGATGCTTATCAGTATGTACATTTCGCAAAATAAAAACCTAAAAATAACCCTGTATAAATTATGCTTATGTAATTGTATAACTATTTCACTATGTATATTATTGTGAGTATTTTGTTAAGTATTGAAAAGCACAGACTGAGGTTACATGAAAGGTAACAGAGGTACCTCCAGAATGGCACGCGCAAGAGACTACAACACTGTAAAATGTACAAAACGATACTTTCATAAAACTGTACTTGATTGATATGATTATGTACATCTATTGTTTCTGTTCTCCAGCTACTGTATATTTGTGGTAAATCGGACTGAATAATTTATGTACGTCGGCACCGAGACGGGTTCATCACATAAATTATCCACAACGCACAGTAAAAGAGTATAAATAGTAGAGTTCTCAATACGAATTTCATAGACGAGCAGCATCCCAAATATTGAGAAAGTAAAATCTGAAGATTATTTACACGGTGCCGGCTCACGGTCGGCACCTCGAAACTTTGTACTCTGAACACGCAATGTCACTGAGCGTTCGCAGGCGGGTGATGACCCGCGTCGGTCAACAGGGCGGCTCGCCGTCCTCCTGTTTGAGAGCGGGCGCGGGCGGCGCGGGCGACGAGGCTCGCTCGCGCCGGGCCAGCGCCGCCTCGCGCTCGTCCAGCATCGCCTCGCGCCGCGCCAACGCCGCCTCGCGCTCGTCCAGCTGCCGCGCGCGCTCCGCCAGCCGCGCGTCGGCGTCCAACAGCCGCGCCGCCAGCTCCGGCTCGGTGGGCGGCGGCGACGTGGACGACGTGACGTCATCCACCGGCGGCGTGAGCGGCTTCAGCGCCACGTTGGGCTGGTAGTCGCGCTCGAAGCTGGTGCAGTGCGCCACCCGCACCACCCGCTCGGGGTTCTGCAGCGCCGGCTCGCGCTTGCCCCACGGCCGGAACGCCGATATGGACCGGTACTGCAGGTGCGCGTAGTGGTCCAGATACAGCGCGTAGCCGTAGTCCTCCCCGCGCGCTTTCTTCGGCGGCGAGTCCGGCGGCTCCGGCTTGCATGTCACCGTCTCCACCACCTGGAATAGACAGAACAGAAATGTTAATATCCGGCAAATTCCACGCGTTCATATCTCGCTTAAAATAGAAACTAAACAAGTCTAATTAATTCAAACATTCTATGCCAAGACGCGCGCCCCTGCGTAAATGTCCAATATATGTTGACCTTCTAGACGTCAGCGCTTATCTTTTGGCGAACGTAGCGAACTTAATTATCCAGACAAATAGACAAGCGTGGAAGTACATTAATTTGAAGGAACTAGGAAAATCATTTAGGATTGGGTCTAGTTGACTATTATTTAGAATTGGGTCTAGAATACTACCTTTCCTTTGACTATACATGAAAAAAAAATTACTAAAAGATTCATCTACTAAGACAAACATCGGCGTTATCTTTCAAAATGTTTTTCAGACAGCTTCATGCTCTGGGCTGTGTGCACAGCACATTCATCTTACGTAATGCAGATGGGCTGTTGGTCTGGGAGGAGGGGGTCCCGGGAGGCAGACGTCCCCGCGACCCGCGATGTAGGTCGCGACCGGGGGCAGACGACACCGAGACAGGCCTCGCCCTAACCAAAGGTATCCGTATAGATATCGACACCTGACTTTAAGTTTCAGGCAACATTTGCAATGCAAAAGAAACAGGTGAATGTAGCATAAAGAAAACAGAGACTTGATAGATGAAGGCACTTGCAGCTTAAAAAAAACATTGCCATGGAGATAAATCCCATGTTCATTATAAAAAGAGTCGAGAGCCTATTTGTACAACGTTAATGGATTCTTAATATCGAAATATCGCCATCTGCCTACAGCCTCATTGAATGGATTCCCAAATTAAATGATAAACTCGCCTCCCGCCCACACCAGAACTTATCGATTATTTAGTTGCCAAGCCAAACTTAACTTTTCTCCCTACAGGTACACAGCTTATTTACGTGTAAAGTTTCATCGTTAAAACTTCAAGTTGTACATGTTTACAAAAACGGTGGCAGTTCAGAAACGCCTCCGACAATGGCTATAATGAGAGAACAGCGGGGGGCCTCCTACCACTATCTTACTAAACGTTACATACGCAGTCGCGTGGGGCGTTGAACACCCATTTAAGGAATAAACCCTAGAATATTATTGTTAGTTGGAAAAACCAGCCTTTTCATAGCGAATATTTCTGAACAAGTGCCTGGTTTTGAATAACCAACCTCTTGAACTTTACAAAAACAATAAAAGCAGGTACAGTAGATATGTTAGGTATTATGTGCTTCTAATTATTAAGGCATTAGTGACTGACTAGCCCCAGGAGATGAATCATGATCCTCTCCTTGATATTGACGTTCTTGAGGAGTTTCACATTCTACAAGTAAGTACTGCTTTCAATAGACTTATGTAATGCTCAAACGTTATGGGGTGTTAGTTATACCCCTCCTTTCCTGTTATGTCATCAAGCAAGAATTCTCCATAGAGTTGACGTCCGTTTTCACGTTGAATCATTTCTTAGATATGACTTCACATTTACGGTACGGGGGCAAGGAGTCTCCTCTGCAGAGAACCGGCGACCAGAGTGTTTCGAACTTCCCTGCCGCCCCCGCGACTTGCTTCCGCCTGTCGTTAAGGGCGCGGCGGAGACAGGTCAATGGGATCTCGGGGGTCAGGGCAGAGTGGGCGCGGGGCTGTCGGCCTACTTGGCGGCAATTTAGCACGTGCCTTCATTATGGAAGCGAGATGTGCTGCGTTAATGCGCGTAATGGAACGTTGTGAGTTTTTCCTTCAAAGTTTCGTAATTTACTGCCGCAGGCGCAACTGAATAAAAGGGTTCTTCTGCATCTTAATAATTCGGTCGCATGAGTTTCCTCGTGTTGTTTTTTCAGGTTGGATCAATAATAGACGGGAACTGCAGAAGACGGTAAGGTTACAAACAAATGGAGGAAAATTAAACAGTTGTTAAGTTCATTAAACAAAAACAACTCCCGATTTCCAGTCAGTTTACAACAGCGGTGGAATGAATGACGATTTGAATGGCGGCCTGCTTGCCCAAGCAAACAACGTGGGATAGACAAAACATTTCACGCGAACGTCCATTACGCCCTGACGACCGTAATGTAGCGTTACGAAGTGAGGGTTTCCACCAGGCACTAGAGCACCAAAAAGAGTCAAATTCGACCTTAACTTTTTCTGAGATTCCCATTGGTCAAAGGAATTTTTGATTTATTTCGGAATGTCCTAAGAATACCCAAACCCATTTCAAATGTAGCATGAGTATAAATAAGTTGAGTAATTAATTTGACACTAAACGATTTCAATAAATATCAGTATAGACTGCCTTAATGTGTGTACCGAAATTACTGTGTATCTCCCATTCCACGAATCTCTTTCCCTAGCAATCAATAACTCTACAGAAGGACACCTACGAACCTACCTACATGTGGCGATCTAAAAATAGCTGACCTATTGGAATGGCACATACCTACCGAAATAAAAAAGTGATTTGTTCTAAAAAGACTAATGGATAGAGGATCTTGTAGATTCATATATCGAGCTGACCGTCATTACGCAGACACTCATGTTAAGTTAGATATTAAAAACAACCGCGATAACAGCCTTCGCTGTAGATATTAATAATGTTTTAGGCATTAATACAGTTTTATCGGATAGCGCGGACATATTTACAACGACTTTGTTTACTTGGCAAATTAAAGTTATCGTAATACCTACTTACTTGAGGTTATCGTCTGCAAGCCATTTCTCAAAGCCGTCATAACATGGGGCCTCTATACCAAAACAAGATAAGAACTCGCGCAGTTTTAAACAAAAGATACGCCATTTTGTTTGATAATGTTCTTGTTGATTATAGAACGTTCTGAATGCTTGAACAACATTATCATGAATTTTTGGACCGTTGGATTTGGTTCATAAAGCATTCATAGATGTTTTAAGCCTAATAGACATCGATAGTGCCTTTAAATTAGGAAATCAGATACATTAGATGGCTATAGGAATAGGTAGGTAGGCTAAATACTAAATAATGATATTTTGCCATCGATTGGTGTTAGTTTCCAAGTCACTTTAATAAACGTTTGAACTCTCACGAAGTTCTGTAAACGTTGAAAGCTAATAATAAAGGAATAAATTGTTGTAAAGCAATTTAAAGTTCAAATCGGCGTAGTCGCAATAAAGAATGGCAGTTGGCATATAGGTTTTATTTTCAGAGCTTCATGAGATTGCAAAAACCTGAGAGCTAACATAAATAGCCTCTACTTACTTTAGTTTCAAATTATATAGACAAACAATAATGTAAAATCTGCACTATGAAGTGAAAATTTATGAAAATAGTTACGCATTAAGTGTGAGAATTTTTGAGACTTTTTAATGCACGATTCGCGCGGAAGTTGAATGCAGACTTTTGGAACGTTTACCTTCTGGCGCTCTACATACAACTCGCGCGCGGAGGGTAGGAAAGCATTTTCTATACTACCTTCTTACGTCACAATAAATTTTGGCTCGCGGCAACCCTGCACCAGCCTAGCTTTCAATGAACGTGTATTTATTTTGACAACGCTCGAGAAACGACGCGAACAGCAAATAACCGCGTGCGCAGATCATCCGCGATTCAATTAAAATATGTTTGTTGATTTAGTGCGTAACGGGACGACGAACCGATGCCGCATTCCTCATTTAGACAACCACTATTATTATCCCAATCTCTAGACGGCTGCTTTTATTGAGATTTTCACCGACTTTTACAACTTAATTACGGATTTATGACGTGGTCTAATTAGTAGTACAATAACGTTACAGATCATACATATTTACAAAATACGCCAGTACATTTTTAATAGGCAACTCGTGTTTTCGAACCCATAAAACGTGTACTAAAGTTAACAAGCAACAACCGCAAGTAATGGCTGCGGTGTTTAGTTGTTACACAGAAATGTTGGAGAATATTTTTACATTACTCGTGCAACTGCTTAAAAATAAAGTAGAAAAGTTTACAGTTTCGGTACCGTTTTCTCGCACGAAGAAAATGCTTCAGAAAAGACTGAATAGCATAATTTAGCTTAGCTAGAGAGTAAAAATATCTATTACGCAAGCGGGGCGCGGGCCGACGCATCGCACCCTGGGGGCCTGGGGGAGGGGGCCAGACGCCTCGGCAACACCCCTAAACGACCAAGGTCAACCCACCAGACGACGACGCCAGCCAAGCTAAATTACACTCTACGCAAGCCACTTAGAATCTAATCTGGAAATTGAAGTAAACAAACGTTGTCGTCATGGCATTGTAAGTCGTATGCCAACAGTCCCAAAATTGAAAACCCCTTCTTTTGGGGTGCCGTAGTGTGGCAGTTGTAGCATGTTAGTCTGCCGGGCAATCAATGAGTCCTCGTATGAATTATGTAGGTATACTAGCTGTTGCCTACGGCTTTGCACTCGTAGTCGGGTTTTTTATTGCTTTTACAACTCAACATACCAAATTATCAATGGTCTTATCTATAAAACGGCTCATTTTCATATTAACTTCAATTCCCCTAGTCTACCCTTCCAAAAATCCTTACATTCAGCTACTTCAGCTTTGAGATGTAATGTTGATAGATTAGTCAACGACGATTTTGATTTAAGAGACATTTCCCCATAATAAGGAAGAAAATACTGTTATTATTTCTATCAAATTAACAATAATTCACGAAAAAACGATTGGAAGCAAACGTTATTGCCATGTCGACGATATAAGTATATTATGTAGAGTCTGGATTTATCTATGACTGAAGGGTGATTCGTACAAACTGAATATTATGTGAAGACGGTTAAAAATCTGAAGCCATAGTAGAGCAGTTTGACAGAGGCCTATGTAAAATGTAAAAAGAGACATAATAGGTAGGTAAAGTCAGTCTCGAGTGCGATAAGACAAAAGAAATAATCTATTTAAAAGCACGTGCACTGAGCACGTTTTCGTAAGTAATAAACTAAAATAATAAACCTAAAGCAAACAGATCAGTATTAAAAGGCTAATAAATAAAAATATCAGACATAA